GCAAATCACATTAAATTGACAAATAATTTTATTGAAAATAAACATCTAGAAGAAAAACTGAAAATAAACATAAGAATTGATAATAATCAAATTACTAATCAAAAGTATTTCCATCAGATGAGGTGTGCCATCAGGTTGCATACTTTTTTGAACTATCTTTAATATGTACTTAGAAAAGACATTTCAAAACCCCCTCAATAATATTTAAAACGGCATACAGATGAACGGGAGATTCATAAATAATATTAGATACGCAAATGACACTTTTACATTAGCTCGCTGTATCTCATTTATGCAGCTATAAACTGCAACTAATTGCTATCCAGGGGCCCATATAAAGACTACGCCCCAGGGTCAGCAAACCTCAATTGGGAGTTTTGCGATACCATGCAGTATATCTATTTAAAACTTTCACATCATACGAATTGATTAGCAAAGATGTAATATATAACAAATGTAATAACATTTAAAGGGTTTTACCCAAATATTTAGTGGCTTCACTCATATACATCTGGAAACTGCATTGATGATGGACTTGCTAGTCAGAAAACGTTCTGTGATGTAGCCCGAAAGGGTCTTCTTAATTATATAGCTTTTATAAAGGAGTTTTTAAATATTTTTGTGATTTATGGTATACAGCCAATAGGAATTTCATTTTCCTTGTGGCGTTTCTTTTACTTAAAAGGATTCGTCCTTTTATTTTATATACTGAATTATTTTATATAAGATATATATAAGATATTATTTTATTTGAATCTATTTTTATGTAAGATATTATTTTATTTGAATCTATTTTTATGTAAATTAAACATACGTTTTACTGAGACTGATGTGTAACAGAGCTACCGTCACACGTTACACAGTTAACTTTAGATATTTAGAATCTCTAGTAAGTTAATATCGTTGGCGAGAAAGTGACGAGACGAATATTCATCGCCAATAAAAGTTACGGTTGATTAATTAAGCAACTAGGATCAGACAACATTACATGAAACAGAAAAGGCCAAATGCACAAAACATTCATAAGACCCGTACTCACATAAATGGATCTGAAACCTAGACACTTACTAAAAGTGAATAATGTCGATTAGCTGCCTGTGAAACCAAATCTTAAGACATACATAGAAGGAAAATGGTATACGGCGAAGAAGATATAGTTGTGAATTATACAATACATAGCAGGTCCCGGATATCTTAATTTTCAATTCACTGGGATATCATTGGGATTCTTAGCAATTGAATCTCAGAGAGTTTAAGAAAGCCTGCAAACGAAGACAAAGAGCTATTTGGAGAACCTTCTGTAAGGAAATCGAAGATTCCCCGCAGGTTTCCAGGCCAAAAAAGGACCCACATCAGCATATCGGCATATTAACGAAGGAAGATGGAAGTAAAACTTAAAACCTTTGCGAAAGTGCTGAGATCCTGATGAAAACACACTTCCCCAGTTCTAGCGCCCCAACACCACCAACCTGGACGGCATAAACAATCATACCCTCAAATGATTGACTGATGATGACTGGCAATTCGCCAGAACAATGATTAATGAGGAACATGTAAGATGGGCCATATTGTACTTCACCCCTTTCAAATCAGGAGGGCCTGGCGGCATATATTCAGCCCTACTACGGTGTATGGATATCCTTCTGCCGCACCTTATGAGAACAATCTACAACAACAATCGCGGAAATTGTCAAATGTGACTCCCACTCCCATACGTAAACCGTGAAAAGATAGGAAGAAGGGCAAGGATGTACCCTTGCCAGGGTAACACCAAGTAATCTTGAAAAGTCAGCATCAAAGAAGTACTTGGGAATGACCAGGAAAAACCTATGCTTGACAGTTATGTTTTTAACTGGTCATTGTCAACTAAGCAAATACTTCCACACACTGGGGCTAGTAGACACACCTTTATGTAGGACGTATGAACGAGAAGACGAAACTGTAGAGCATGTCCTATGTGAATGCCCGGAGCTATCGTTAATACGAGAGTACGCGATCGGCGAGTTCTGGCCCACATAAGGCCGGCTCCCCACTTGGGATCCAACGTTGGCGTCAAAATTGAAGCCAACGTTGGGTCAACTGTGTTACCACGTTCGGTGACTCATCCACACATTGGATTGAGTATTGGGGCGATATCAGTCTGTTCCCTCTAGAGCCAACGTCAACATGTACGACATAATTGTAGCGGCTGCGACTGGGGTGATAATGAGTGCATATTATTATATTTTGCTACAAAAAAGCGAAGACCTCCTCGTCGAAGAAAATGGTGGCGATATATGGAAGTACATATTTTAAAAGTTACGTGATCACACGACGGTGGTCTATTAGGACAAAATAATCTATATTTCAAAATTACAAGCATAAGTATATTTTTGTAAAATATTTAGCTAAGTCCATTTTTTTGCGCCTGAAAGGTACTGAAAAAACCAGATATGTAGGTACATTATTTATTTACCTAAAAATAGCCTTTTGAGAAAAAACTAAGTTCTGATAGTCCGTCAGTCTGACATTCGTGTATCGTAGTGTTTATCCTAAACAACTCAACGGGGGTGACTCAAGTGACCGAAGACCGATTTTGTAAACTTGTTTTTTAATGCCATCATGGAATGGAAATTTTCTTCGATAAAGTAATTTTTATTTTCTAAATTTCTGTGTAAAACGGCAGCAGAAGCGTTAAAAAAAAAAAGAAGACGAGGAAGCCCAGGACAAACTGCAGCTTGTCATTGGTTTATTTTCTTTTGTTATGCTAGATTGTACAAAATTAGGTAATTTTATACAGGATGCGAAAATCATGCATCAACAACTAAATTATGCACACACCGCATAATTATACGCCGAATGTAACACTGATGTAGCGTGAATGTGTGGTCGGCAACACCAATATTGGCGCCAATCCCTTTGATGTGTACGCAAAAACCGACAGCCCACGGAAAACTCCCAAGATTGGAGCAAGTCATAAACACGTTGGCGCCAACATTGGCTCCAACACAGTTTTGTCGGTACACACATTGGACGAACGCTGTTGGGGCCAACATGGCCCCTATGTGTGGAGCCGGCGTAAGAGAGATGTCTCCTAGTGACTTCTCCACCTCTCTAGCAATGGCAGGATGAACAATGAGCTAAGGACGACAGCTCCCTGGGAGGGTGCACAATGGGTCAATTGTGGCCTAAGTGCTGTTGAACTTAACTCGCTCTCCTTACTCTATAGATATAGATACAGATCATAATATTCATAAAAATTAAACGTCTACGGTGGATGGGACATGTAGGCATTAAGGGTACGGTACAAAAGCTCTCAGCATCTATATATTCGTTGACAATGAAACAATCTATCTATTTTTAAGACGATAGTTCCATCAGTAAATAATCCGAAATCCGGATTACTGAGCATGGTCTCCTAAGCGATCAAGTTGGTCTGGGTCTTCAAAAAATTCGTGTTTCCGATGACTAAACATCAATTAATAAATTCACTTTTAAAGCGACTAAAACGTTCCAGTTATTTATAAAATGTGAACAATGCTGTGTTAGTTTGTTTCAATACGACTAAGAACTGATCCAGTTATATCCACAAAAATTAATTATTTTATGCATATTTTTTTCCTTTGAACAATTTACCCAACCACTGACATTTTTCCAAGCCAGCTTGTGTTCATATTTGCAACACAAAAAAATCCAAAAACAAATATTTGTCAAGCAAAGAAACTTTTTTGACACAGTGTTTCATTGGTAAATGTACATAAAAAACGTTAATTGCAGTTACATATAGCGTATATTAAATTAGATCATATTTAGAATATGTGTTTCGCTTAAAAAGTAAAATCAACTAATCTGTTTACCTATATCGAAATTCAGGTCCGTCTTTGAAAAACTAAGAAATTTCTTAACTTGAGGTTTAACACCTTGTACATCATAATTTTTAAAATAGGTTTAAAAATTTGAAAACAGAAAATTTTGAATGGAATCGTTCACTTTTCGTTCTAATTAACTATACTGGGTTTACTACAAGTTATGACCACCTGAAAATATTGACAAAATAGATAAAACACCCTCTATCGTGGTTATTAAAGTCGTCTTCTTCTTCTTCCTATGTCCTGCTCGATTATAGTGCGTTGGCTATTGGCTTGGTGTTGTTGACGGCAGCTCATATAACGGATGCATAGGATCTGATCAATCATTCTCTCAGGTTTCTAAGCCATGATGTTCTTCTTCGACTTGCCCCTCTTCTTTCGTCTATATTACCTTGTATTATTAAATGAAGCATATTATATCCTTTGTGACCCACAATCTGGTCAAAATATTCCTTCTTGCGATTTTAACTGTTCTTACCACTTCCGCAAGTTTTCCCATAACAACCTCGTTACGAAATCTATCTACTTAGCTTATTCGCAGAATTCATCATCAATACATCCTGATTTCAAAAGTTTCAAGTTTTCTTAGAAGAGTCTCAGTTAAAGTCCAACATTCGACATCACATAAAAGAATAGAGAACACATAACATCTTACTAATCTAGTTTTCAGTCTCAAAGTAATATTGTTTTCACATAACATTTTCTTCATCTTATTGCAGTTCTGGCTTTCTCCATACGTATTCTTAAAGTAAAGATACTCGTTAAATATGGGATTCTTGATAGGTGTACTCTATCTGCAGTTACCATATGTACATTTATCAATGAAACACCCTGTATAAGTAAAAATCAATATTTTAATTTTTAAGACAGATTTAAAAAATTTGCGCTAAAGCATATTAATACCTTATCGTTTGTAACATGAAATTTAAAGTTGTAACTTAGATTATCCGTTTCCTTGTTATTATTATCGTTGACTGATTACAATGGTTTTAAACTAAAGTTAACTGACAAAAAGGTAGAACGTTATTACTCATTATAGTATTTTTAAAGCAATAAATCTCATGTATTCGAATTGACCAGCATGAACAAAAGTCTATTTTTGTCTTTTATATTTGAGCTCTACATTAATTAATACTTTTATATTTGTTTCAGATATGGCTTTTTCTTCTAAATCTCCTCTTACATTTATTTCAATACGCAAAAGGAGCAGTTATGCCGCCGCCCTGGGCAAATCCAAAACTAAACCCATGTGCCTCGCATCCTCTTGGATGGCAACTCTTATTTTGGCCGCCAGATGGAAAATGCTACAAAATATTTCAGGTAAAAAAACGTTTTCCATTCCAGTTCACGCCCACTCATAGTTACTTAATTTCACTCACACCCGCTCACGCAGGTTACTTTTTAAATTGAGTTCACTCACGAACACGTGACCACGTCTAATAAAATACATAAATTAAGGTTAATCCAAATTTAATCCATCTCTTAAAAACATTCTTTAGTACAAATACAAACCCAAATCATAATTAGTATTCAAAAATAAAAATTAATCCAAATTATCGGATAATTAACTGGTACATCGCTCTTCCATAATCAGGACCGCACAAGAAAACAATCTCTCTGAAGTAGCAGATCTAGCAGGTACATTTAAAATTCGGCTAGCTAATTTGTTTAGTAGAGGTAGATCACTCCAATTTTTTTTAAATTTTAAATTTTTGTTCGAAGGTTGGGATTCTAAAATAGTTTCTAGCATAACATAACGTTCATCTATCTTGCATAAATGAAAAATTATTGTCTTAAACTTTGGGCCCAAGAATAAAGCCACATAATCTAGTAGTGAGGTTGAAATCGCTTTTTTACTGCATTTTTCGTGTTTTTAATTCGATAATCAAATCTGAATCTTCAGTTTTAGCTTAGCAACACTTGTTAAGCTTTTCCTGCCACAAAACGTACCTATTTGAGGTGGGATGTAAACAGGAATTTATATTTTCAGAACATTCTCTCATCATTCAATCTTCGCTTATCCACTGCTGGACATAGATCTCACTCATAATTGTCCATCTATTTCGATCTTGTGCCTCTTGCATCCAATTCCTATGATAACGTTTTAGATCGTCAGTCCAACGTGTTGGTGAACGACCTCTGCTTCGGTAGGCATCATATCTTGGTCTCCATTCCAGTATCTGCTTTGTCCATCTATTATATGTCATTCGAGCCACGTGACCTGCCCAGTTCCATTTCAGTGTTGCTCAAAACATTCTCTAAACAGATATAAAAAAGAGCAGTTAAAGATTTCAGTGTGCCAAGGTTTAAACCACTAAGTCTACTTATTTCATCGCTCTTATTATATTGATACGAACATGCATTCAGCGTGGCCCGTGTAACGGTTGCATCTCGAAACAGTATCTCAGGCTTCGAGACCATTCGTGATGTATGAGCGCCTGTTAGAGATTATGATAACCAATACAAAAGTGCTACCACCAGTTAATACAGTAGCCTTAGAACCGGTAGTAAAAGAAGAATCACCAAGAGACGAAACGACACATCATATGAGATTCAAAGTGCCACCATTTGATGGAAAGTCCTCTTGGTCCATATACCTATTTGACAATTTGAAGCTATTGCGATAGTCAATCATTGGACAGAACAAGAAAAGGCTGTTTTCTTGACTGCTGCTTTACGAGGTAATGCTGCGGATATCCTAAGATCGATTCCCAATGGCCAAGAAAAATGTTATCAGACCTTGTTCACTCGACTAGACAAACGTTACGGAGATGCCCATCTACAACAAGTCTACAAGGCGCAACTAAGAAGTAGAATTCAACGAGCAAGTAAAAATTTGAAAGAGTTTGAAGCAGATGTTAGTCGTATAGTACGGTTAGCTTATCCAGAGGCACCAGACAACATGTTGGAAGAAATTGCTGTAGATATCTTCGTCAATGGGTTAAAAGACAATGAATTACAGAAAGCTTTACGACTATCAAGATAGAAAGTTCTAGATGAAGTGCTCGCTATTGCCTAGGAACACGAAACAGCTAGTCAAACTTCACGGACCCATCGAGTAAGAACCATTGAAGAAGCCGACGAACCAAACGATGAACGTCTGGAAGAAATGGTACAAAAAGTAGTTCGTAACACGATGCCGAAGAGACGCAAGCCCAGCTGTTGAAAGTGTGGTGACGTAGGTCACATTCGCCGTAATTGCAAGAAAATTATACAACAGTCGGAAAACTAGAACGGGTCGACACCAAGGGGCAACTGCCAATCTCGAGAAATACAGCCCCCATAGTAACTGTGAACATTACGTCCTCCAGTGGAATTCATAGCTTGTACATCGAGGGTCGTATCAATAATAAATGTAGATCGTTTTTGGTAGATACAGGTGCAACAAGAACTATTGCACGACCAGAAGTAGTACGAGACCATCTTAAATTATCGCCTGCAACATTAAAGCTTAGAACAGCAACTGGTGAGATAATTAATACATATGCCAGTATCCATTGGCCAGACCACAGTGAAACATAGTGTATTAATTGCAGAGATCTCCGACGAGTTCATATTGGGGATGGATTTACTAAGGAAAGTTGGGGCTGTATTGAATGTCAAAGATGGAGTTCTCGAGATCAGTGGTGACTTGTGACGTAACAATACCCGGTAATAGTGAGAAAATTTTGATGACCAGACCTGATGGTTAATGCCGAGAGGGAAGTTTAAGTAAAAGAACTTTGATCGGACAGTGTGTTACCGCGGCTTCGACTTGCTCCACAAATACAAATGAGAAACCGTCGAAATCTAAGTATCCAAAGGAGCTTGTTGAGACGATGATTAAAACGTGCCAAGATCTTGATGATGAACGAACTAAAAAAGTGAAGTCTATGCTGATAGCAGCGAGAAAGAGTGCTAGATTCGGCGTGACGACAGAAGTACAGCAAGACCATTTTAGTGTTCCGCATAACGTCTCTCTAGCCCACTGTGTTGCCCAAGATCTTGAGATGATTAAAGGAATCTCATCCGTATTTTATAAAAAGTTCGGTCGTTTGGATGAGTTAAAAAACCAGCAGCCTATGGTTGGAAGAGTACTGAGGTTAGAAGATGGTTCTCGATCTTTGCTGTATATGGTGACCAGAAAGTTTTATACAGACAGGGTAAGCTACGAGGATATATGGCGTGCTCTAACTAATTTAAAGAACAACTTCTGTAATTATGACACCAAGAATTTGGCCTTACCCAAGATAGGCCATGCCCTAGATAATCTGGATGGGAAGATTGTCAGAAGCATGCTTGAAGTGATCTTCCGAGAAACCGGAGTAAGAATTACTGTGTGTTGCATTACCCCAAGAAGATCGTGTTCTTCAAAGTCAGTAGACTGTTATTTCTTCTTGATGGGGTCATGCAGAGTTGGAGAGGCCTGTAGATTCCGCCACCCTGGGCCTACATATGGAGTTGCTGATCGGGACGCTCAGATCTAAGAGCGGAGCAGTGTTACGAACATGCACTCAGGGTGGCCCTTTTCATGGTGGCCCTTTTCTTTTCATTCGTGGTGCATCTCGAAACAGCATCTCAGGCTTCGAGAACATTCGCAATGTATGAACGCCAAACAACGAATTAGAGGTGGGACTACCCCACAAGATTCGAGAATAATACTTTTTGGTATATATATATATATATATATATATATATATATATATATATATATATATATATGTAACGATGTTATGAGTTAGTTTAGTTGATAAGATAGTACCGAACTGTAAAGTTATAAATAAATATATTTATATAAATTCGAACCGCTCGTTTTATTTAAAAACGGTACAATATTGTGAATCTCTGCAAATATATTTGGAATACTAATTACCATTAGCTTAAGTTAGCTTGGGCAGCATTCGGTAAACTGAACTATATACTCAGAAATCAACAAATTCAATTACATCTTAGATCTAAAGTTTTTGATGCATGCATTATTCCGATATTAACTTATGCGGCACAAACATGGACAATCACAAAAAAGAATATGAATATACTTAGAGTCACTCAACACGCGATGGAAAGAGCAATGCTAGGTATATCACTTAAGGACAAGAAAACAAACATGGATAAGACAGAAAACCAAAGTCACCGATGTGGTGCAAAAATCATTAAAGTTGAAATGGGAATACGCTGGACATGTAGCTAGGAGCGATCTAAACAAATGGCACAGATCAATTTTAACCTGGAGACCATACCAACACAAAAGACCAGAGGCAGGCCTCCTATGAGATGGACAGATGATCTGAAAAGGACTGCCGGGAAAAATTGGCTACAAGTAGCGTACAATACAAAAAAAAAATGGAAAGGAAGACTTGAAGAGGCTTATGTTCAGATGTGGACGTGAATGGCTAGACGAAGAAGAAGAAGAAGAAGAAGAATTACCATTGTATAAATTAAATTCCATCTCCTCGATACATGCAGTTCTAAAGATTTGGAAATTTTTCTGTATAACTCGGAGTCTTAAAAAACTACGTTGTGTGCATTCTTCTGTCCAGAAATCCATGTCAAAAGAAACTTACTAAAGTTATTTTAAAAGCAAATATGTTTATAATATCATGTCTACCAAAGTCTGTACTCAAATTGATTAACTCTTTTTTATGAAACTTTATTATCTATTAACCCACATTTTATGAAACCCTCATCTAAAAGTTACGCAAGTTGAAAATAGATTAGAAAAAATATAAATAAAAGTTATATTCGTAGCCCAGTCCCGGCGTTCATCGATCTTTTTCTCTCCGAATACTTTCGCTGTCTGCTCTCTTCTGTCTTCTGCGCCGACAAGAACAATTCCAAATCATTCCGAGATTCTCCCGTAACGTAGACCACCGCAGCTGATGAAATATGCGGGGAGAGTCCAACCGCGAATTGTTGTGAGTCGTGAATCCACTTATTTCATGTAACTTTTTTCAGATTGTTAAATATAATAGAAAAGTTTTTACGAAACCACATGAAATATTAGAGAAAGTTATAGAGAAGCGAATAAAGCTGTCAAGAAGGCAGCAAAGAAAGACAAAAGAAAGTGGGCAGAAAATCTTGCGAAGAAGCGCGAGTCGCCGATGAACATCAAAACATGAGACAATTATATAATATCACTAAACAACTAGCCAATAAAAGATATACTACCCACCAACCAATTGTAAAAAGTGCTACAGGTGAAGATATTACAACGCCACAGGAACAAGTCAAAAGATGGCATGAATATTTTAGCGAATCTCTAAGTGCAGTCCCAACACCACCAGAAGACGCAGAAAACCCAATATCCAACTGAGAATTAACACCAACGAACCAACAACGCAAGAAATAGAAATGGCCATAGAAAAACTGAAAGCACACAAAGCAGCCGGCCCTGACAATATTTCACCAGAGTTGTTAAAAGCTTGCCCAGGTACAGTGGCAGAGCTAATCCAACCACTCTTGAAAAGGGCTTGGAGAGAGGAAAAGTTCCCAAAGAATGGAAAACGGGATTAATAATAAAGATACCAAAAAAGGGTGACAGAAGATATTGCGAAAACTGGAGAGGAATCACACTTCTGAATACTATAAATAAATTAACAGCAATAATTATAAATAACCGACTAACAAACAGTGTAGAACCAATGTTGAGGAAGGAACAAGCCGGTTTCAGATCAAACAGATCATGCGTGGACCAAATTAACACACTAAGAATAATTGTAGAACAGTCACAGGAATTCAACTCTCCTCTCTTGGTGTGCTTTGTGGACTTCAAGAGAGCTTTTGACACGCTCACACATACGGCCATATGGAAAGCACTGCAGGGAATAGGAATATCAGAAAAAATAGTAAATCTCATCAAAGAACTCTACAGTGACACAGAAAGCAAAATCCTACACAACGGCATAACATCTGACCCAATAGCTATGCTAAACGGAGTAAAGCAGGGCTGTGTTTTATCCCCTATACTATTTAACATTGTACTGGACTCCGTACTAACAAAGGCAAACTCTAATAGAGGAATTCACTGGGGATTAACAAACAGACTGGAAGACCTAGATTACGCTGATGATATATGCCTCCTAGCACATACAAAACAGGACATGCAACTCCAAGTAAACAAAGTACAAGAAGAATCAAAGAAGGTTGGTCTAGAAATAAACACCAACAAAACCAAAGAAATGCGATTTGGTACCAGAAACAACCAACCTATTATGATCAACGACCAGAAAATGAGAAAGTAACGGAATTTGTATATCTGGGCAGCATAATTGACTGTAATGGGGGTACAGAGCGTGATGTACATGAAAGAATAAATAAGGCTCGCAACGCCTACAACATGCTTAACAACATATGGAAGTCCAGGATTTACCCAACTAAAACGAAACTAAAAATCTTCAACACAAATGTAAAAGCTGTATTACTGTATGGCTGCGAAACGTGGAAGATATCAGTACCCATAGTACACCAACTACAAGTTTTCATCAATAGAGCGTTACGAAAAATCCTTCGTATATTTTGGCCTAACCGAATCTCCAATGAAAATTTATGGAACCAAAGCAATCAAGAAAATGTCATAAAGCAAATAAGGCGAAGAAAATGGAGATGGCTGGGCCACACACTCCGTAGACCGCCAAATGACATTGCCAGGACAGCGCTGGATTGGAATCCCCAAGGCCGACGGAAAGTAGGCAGACCTAAGGGAACTTGGAGAAGGACAGTACTGGACGAAGGGAGAACAATGGGAAAATCCTGGCTTGAAATCAAAGCACTAGCCAGAAATAGAGTTCGCTGGAGACACTTTGTGGAAGCCCTATGTTCCTCTTAGGAATCTTGGGACTATATATATATATTTATATATATATATATATATATATATATATATATATATATATATACATGAAATATAAATTATCAATTTCCAGAAACCGTCTGGCCTCGTAAATACTTTTGTTCCGTCTGTTAGTTCAGGGACAGTTTGCAGTCCACACATAAGAGTCTTCAGTACAACTTGTCTGTCAGAGGCAATCAATATTTTTGATAAATTAAGCCGGTTTTTTAAGTAATCTTAAACAAAAATTGCGCAAACTTAAAAAACAATAGTAATTTTGCTTCAAATATTGTAGGAGTATTTCCCTAAAAGTATTTACTGAAATTATTTCTTCATTCAATTGCTTCAATATATTTAAGGCACCTATCGACCACAGTAGATTTGATAAATCCCTCCTTTAAAGACAACAGCTTTCTACTGCTCCTTATGGTGTTTGACTGATCTCCAAGATAGATAACTATATTCCTAGTAGTTAGTGTGGATAATCAAACGGATAGATTAATGTTATTAATATCTTCTTTTATTTTTTTATATTTATGTATCGTTTCATTAGAATTTACAATAGAAATATGAAAAATAGTATAATCATGCCTTTACAAAAAAGAATCAAGGTACACAATTACATATAAATAACGCTACTTCTCTAGAAATAAATCAAATACAGTCATACTCGATAAGTTTTCTTCATACATTTATTGTTTAATTTTAGGTTGGTCATCCTTGCCCGAACGGTATGGAATTGACGCCATCTCTTAGCAAATCCGGCAAGAATTTATCTGCCGAATGTAAATGTGTACCCCAAACCGCTCAATCAGCAACAAATGGTGAATGTTACCCGCTATTTAGCGCAGGTCCCTGTAATGAGGGTTTTTATTTTGGACCTGATACAAAATACAAAAGTGAAAAGTAAGTTCGAAAAATTAGGATAAAATTCTGTAGAGTACTTATATAAAATAATATAATAACTCACTATGGAAAGTTAAACTATTTTCTTATAGCATTTTTATATTACCTTATTATTTAACAAGAATAAACCACAATTTTAATTAAAACTATATTATAATTGAAATATCACATATTAAGTATTTTGAAATTGTGGTTAATTTCCATTAGATATAATAGATAATACTAATGCACGTAAGTAATGAATACATATATAGTCCTTTTCCATCATATTGATAGCACATTATGTATGCAAATCCTCAACAGGTCAAAAAACCATAGGCGTTACTTGTTTTGAAATAAATAAAAAAAATTAATATTTTAAGATGCCGTCAACAATTCATTATCTTTTTAAAAATCTTCTGTAAAATAAGTGTCCACTAATCTCACTATACCTTTTTTGTGCGTAAAAAACGTCGGTATATATGCCACACGATTATTGTTAATTATACACGGGTGATTAACGAGAGAATTCAATGTTTCAGGAAAGAAATTAATGTAAACAGTAATTTAAAGGTGATTATTGTTTTCTATACAAGTTATCGCCTGACACAAAAAGAATACCTTCTTTGAACGATTACCTGGAATTACTAATAAGGCTTCACTAATGATAGTTTAAGTAGTTTTTATGCCACATTACAGCTTATGCCAATAATATAAATTAGAAATTGTTTGCATCTTCCATTTAGTTTGTAGATGTACCTACCTACGTTTTTGGTGTCGATATTTTGTTATTTGCATTTAAAAATGACGTCGACAACAGGTTTTATTCCGGTTAAGTGTAGTTTTAAGGGTGCCTTCAGTCTAAGAGAGAAAAATATAGTATTAAATGTACACGATGCACTTGTACATCAACGCCCTTTAAGTAATGTTTGTGAAATCGTTAACATGTGTTAAAATATGACAGGGGTTGGAGAAGCAACAATTTATAGATTCCTAAAAGAAAGAAAAGGAGGAACTGTTTCATCTCCCAAGAAGAGTGAAGGGAGTAAACCCTTGGAAATTGAAGAAATACATAAAAACATGATAAGACGCAGCGTCCACTCATTTTTTTTTAACAAAGAATTTCAAACATTGGACAAAATCCAAACATTAATTAGAGAAAACGAAGAGTTACCAATCATAAGCAACAAGAAATTATGGGGACTATTGAGAGAGATGGGATTTCGTTGGCAAAAGAATAGAAGAAAATCCGTTTTAATTGAAAAATATTACATTGTATGTTGGAGACGAGATTATCTAAGAACTATTAAAAAGTACCGAGAAGAAGGGAAAACAATTTTTTTATTTGGACGAGACTTGGCTAATGAAGGTCATACTGTACCATATCTATGGGTTGATACAAATGTGAAAAGTTCCCGTCAGGCATTCATCGAATGTGTATCTACTGGAATAAACAATATTTCCGTTGGAAAAGGACGCAGACTCATAATAACCCATATTGGAAACGAATACGGTTTTGTCAATGGTGGATTATTAAGTTTTGCCTCAGAATTAACCAAAGATTACCACGAGGAAATGACTGCTGACGTTTTTGAAGAATATTTTGAGCAAATGTTGGATTTAATTCCAAAAAATTCTGTCATAGTAATAGATAATGCTAGTTACCATTCAAAACTAGCAGAAAAATTGCCAACAACGGCATGGAAAAAAGGAGAGATAATCGAATGGTTGGATAAACACGCAATTGAGTACAAGGAGAATTCGACAAAAAAGGAATTATTACCTATTGTAAGGCAACATAAAGCAGCTTATAAAAAATTTATAATTGATGAAATGGCATTAAACAGTGACGTAATTATTTTACGTTTACCCCCATACCACTGTTATCTGAATCTGATAGAAAATATACGGTCTCAAGTAAAGGGTGAAGTCGGACGCAACAACAAAACTTTTAAATTAGACGACTTACAACAATTATTAGAACATTTCTTATCAAAATTAACTCCAGAAAATTGGAAAAATGCTGTTAGTCATGCTCACAAGGAAGAAAATAAAATGTGGAATTTGGATAATATGACTGATGCAATGCTGGAACCGGTAATAATTAACATTGGAATTGAAGATTCCTTAGATTCCGAAGAAAACAGTGAATCTGAAATGGAATTTGATTAAAATAATATTCATTTTTTTACAAATCGGCCCCTGTTACGGCCACAAATTATTTTATATATAACCAATAAAATTAACATCTTACATTTCTTGCAAATTCATTAGTAGGTACCTGTTAATCTCCATCACTCCGACAATGGCAACTTTATTTAGGGATTAGTAACCCTCAAAACTATTGTATTCTATTCTGCTTCAACCTTTATACCTGGTGGTCATACTCAAATTAAAATTGTTTTCCTATATACTTTTGTAAACTTGTTGACAAATATCTATTTTTTATTGAGTCACCCGTATCAACAGTTTAGGGATTTGCATATATAATGTGCTATCAATATGATGGAAATGGACTATAACTGATTGTTGATGTGATTTAACAGATACTTTATGGAACTTCATTTTATTTTAGTCAGATATCGATATTGTCTGTTTTCTAAAATTTCATAACATTTATTAACAATTTACGACTATTTTAAAGTTGTGACGATTATATACTCTTATCTTGAGTACGCCTATGTACTTAACAGAACATGTTTTTATACAGTCGCTGGCTGTGTAAAAGATCGAACAGAAATCCATTGGTCGTCATACCACGTCATACTTGGTGCGTTAAACGAAAAATACCTACCTACCTACAGGAACACGTGTATTGAACGTGTTCCATTCCATCGATTTTATGAGTCGAACGAAATCGATAATTCCCCGTCCTGCCGTTGACAACATGCGCTGAATGTAGTCACCGAGCTTCCTTTGCCGACTAATGTGTTGAATCGGACATGCCCTTCTGTAAACATTCATTTCCTGCTTAGAAATGAATGTGACCTCTGATTAATTCCCCCAATCGTCGATTTATGATTTATGGGTCAAATATCATCACACTATCCTTCTAAGGGCTATGAAAGCCGAATAAGTACATGTAGAACTTATTTGATTTTAAAATAACGAACTGATTTTCATATTTTGTCTATTTAGATCAAAATAAATGTCTTCAGAAGAACAAATTCGTTGTCGAATTCATCGACTGCATATTTATATTATTCGCTAAGTGGTCAATGTCTTCCCAAAAGTTATGACTTTTCTATGCAATGTACAATATTATTATATGGTACAAGTAGTTTTAAACTATTATCTACAGCAAATAAACGTGCGCCAGCCACCTCTACAAAATGTATTGTACGATTTGGTTGGTTATTCACATCACAGCTTTGATCACATTAGTAATGTAGGACGACAACTTAAGCTCATATACTATATTCAGGAGCGTTTACCAAAGCGAGTTTATATGCTACAAGCTTAACACAAAAGGTGCCAAGATGGTTTACAGTTACACAAATTCAGAATTCTGGATCCCTGTACCAGCTTGTAAAGCTCTAGTAGATTCGTAACATATGTTTTTAGCAGTCTCCGAAAAATGTTTTTAGCAGTCTCCGAAAAGTCTTTGCCGTCTGCGATTTATTGACTCAAATGATGCAAGATATGGTTGACTGTTTAACATTTTATGCTTTAGAGGCTGCAGCTTAAGTCGTCATGAAATAGCCCCAGTGCATTTTAAATTTTTTCAAAAGCGGATCTGAATTTTTTCTAGTTTGAATAAATCAAAACGGGTCCATTGTATCAACCCTATCATACGGATTAGGCCATGAGGACCTAGTCTTCGGCGTTTATATCTGCTATAATCAGCAGGGGCTCCAAAAATGTGAGCCCTTCCTATCGTTTCGAACATTTAATCCTTTAGTAACCCTGTGGCCTCACAGAAAGCGACAAGTTTCTTTAAGGGTAACTCACTCATTTGCCTCGGTTACATAAAGGCCCAAACCAGGATCTGCCACCTCTGATAGGCCACTGCCGGGCATTTCTAGAGGACATGTGAGGAGGTATCCTTCTCCTCATTACACATACGATACCATGCACCATCCAACAATCCAAGCAGATGCAGGTGTCGCCTAAGTCTACAGTGGCCAGTAAGCATACTGAGCACCAGCATCTTCTACGGTCTAGAAAGATAAGTTGGACTCTAAGATTTTAGAATTGACCCACTATGTGGAGCCTAGTCTGTCTTATACCTCCACAACTGGCGGGATAGGAGTCCTGGAACCTCAGTTAAAGAAGCTCTTTGAGACTAACCCGATCAGTACTGAGGGGCACTACAATCACAGGTTCGAATCCTACTAGCAGAGTGTCTGAGTGTCAGCTCGTTCGTGCAGTTAAGTTAACCCTACTGGTCAGCGCAATATCAGCAAGTGCTGATATTGCACTTTAGAACCAGCTTAGAGCCGACTTTGGGCGCTTCCAAAGCCCTTAGCGCTGCTTAACTGCCAGAGTAGATAGAGATGGTCCTGAGCAAGCTTTATCTATTATCTTCTGAGCACATACTATCTTCTGAGCACGTTCTATCTACTCATCCCGGTCAGAAAATTGAACCAAGAAGAAGGATGAGAACTGCTTAGGTGAAAGTATTCGATGTACTGCAAGAATTTGAATATATATTTCTCCAATGCTATGTCGTATACATCATAAACATCTTTTATAACTTCAAATAATTACCGGAACTCCTTTTTATTCAGTGCTCATCACAAAACACTTAAAGATCCTGTATCATGTGCTTCTTCAAGATCAATGGATAACAAATGAACGGCTATTTCTTTACTCCTATATTTTTCCATTAGCCACGTAGTACTTGTTAGAAAAATCTTTATTAAAATTGACTACATAGTTCTTATTAATACACACACGTACATTTTAATGGCCTGCTTAAGAATATAAGTAATACCTACTAAATATGTTTTCTATAAACTACAATCGATTCGGGTTTAGTCATTTTGTTAATAAAGGTTACTAAACATTAGAGAACAGTAAGTTTCATTATTTATGTTTATCTATTCAGTTAATTTTCGTCAGGTTCATTTTTTAGCTCTAAGAGACAATGGGGCACATGTAAGCAGATGAAGGCGTGTTCTAAAGGGAATGAAATCTACTGGCCCAAAGACGGAAAATGTTACAAAACATTTAGTAGAGGACCTTGTGCCAAAGGACAATTGATTATCGAAGATTCCAAATCAAAGATCCCTGTATGTAGTTGTGATGAAACTCAATTACAAGAATATAGGTACGTAATGAAGATGAAAAATATTTAGACATAAAAAATTCGGAAAAAAAGACGGAATCGTAAAAATGTAGGTTGTCTCTCTTTAAATCTCTAAACGGTGACTCCAGGATATATAGTGTAATTATCTAATCCGCAGAACTAATCGTTCTCCAGACCGACGATCCTACTACCGACGACTACTCTAGTCGTAGCGTATATATTTTAACCGACAGTCGATAGGCATAGAATAGGCTTGCATAATGATAGTCGGAAAGGCATGTGCATGTTGAGCTGAGCAGATACACTACGACGGACTACGACATTAGTCGGAGGTAAGAAATGTTTAATTCCAACACATTTGGAACACCTCTCTACACACCTGATGGACATTTTATTTGGCCCTAGTATAGCCAGGGTTCATGTATCAAGGCGACGTCAAACTCTCTCATATCAGCAGTAAGTTCTGCGGAAGCTACCTTACTATACGTTCGTCTGTAGGACCCTTATTGGGACAGAGATAGAAGGACCCTTATTGGGAAAGAGATAGAGTCCACTAATAATTCTCCCTTTTTTTGTTTTCTTCTAGATTATCCTTATCCAATTCCCGGAGAATAGCAAAAGAATTATTCAAATCGTTTATAAGCAAAAAATTGCAATGTTTTTGCAATGTTGGAAATGGTTTTTTCGAACCGTTCGTTCATTTCATTTACAATATTTATTATCATTTTTACATTTCATTTTTACAATAGTTATTAAAATTTAATAATAATTTACAATTCTTAGGGTTTTTACAGTTTTCTAAGCAACAAATTAGTAAATCAACATTAACACTAAATCGCCATTTAAAACCTTTAAACGTGTTTTGTCAAATATTTATCTTCAAAACCGGCCAAAATGCTTTACTTTTTACTGATAAGCCCAACGAACCTATTGCAAGAAACATAGATGTTTTGGTTATTGATGTCCATAAAACTCAAACAACTTGTGAGAGACCTGTCGGGTCAAAGTCCTCAACAGGTTACTTTTAACCTTGTTTCTAATAGTTCCTATTCTTATATACCATCATATCATTAATCCTTTATTACTTTGATCCACACAACTTTGGGAGGCTTTTATGATCTAAATTATTCGATTTACAAATACACATGTATTTCAACATTGCAAATATATATTAGGCTATTAAACCAATTTAGCATTAACATTGGAACTTATTTTTCCTCTTTGTTTATTTACTTTTAATAAAACTTTTTACTCTTATAGATATTATGACAATCGTTGTTACCAGCATTACACAAAAGGACCTTGTCAAGAGAAAGGCCATTTGTTCCTTCCAGGAAAGACCTGTAATTGTTTCAGTAACTTGCCGAACTATCATCAAGACAGTCAACAATGCTTTGAATTAGGTATGTCATTACGTAATCAAAAAAATTTAATTTCAATATATATTTATTATTAAAATTCTCACAAAAACCCAAGAAATTATCGGTAACATAGACGTATAAACAAACAAACGAATACGGTATTAAAAATCATGGAAAAAAACTGGTCTCAATTAACTACGTCTATTCATTAGACTATCAACTCGAAGAAGGGTTAAAGAAAGCTAGGCAACAAGAGTTATTTAATGGCTAAAGGGTACGCTTCTTGATGGATATATTCTTGACGTATCAATAAGTACTATTATCAAGAGTACTACCGCTTTAAGGCAAACACATTAGCTTGTAAAAAATTATGCTTTAATTGCTAGTAAATAAAAAATAAAATATATATAAAAAAAATTATTTTTAGGTACAGTTGGTCCATGTTCGTCAGGTCAAAAATACGACTTACAGCTGCCTACAGATAGCCACGCCTCCTGTCATTGTAAACCAAAGTACATTCCTTACCAAAACTCTACGTCTTGTTACCGTCTATATACAAAAGGTCCTTGTGCCAAAGGCCAGATCCTTCTAGATTCAAACACCTGCATCCGCCAACCTTGCGAACGCGGTAGCCTCTATTTTCCAGATGAAAACAAATGCTACCGAATAGGGATACGTGGTCCTTGTCCCACCAATCGAGTAGTAGCGTTCGACTTCGACACCCGACCGTCCATAGATGGTATTAGCTACAACGGAGTGTGCGTGTGTGCTAAAAAAGATTGTGAGCCAATGATCGAACTCTGTGATCGCACCAAAGGACTTATCCGTTATAAAGGACAGTGCCATAAAATGTATACACAAGGCCCCTGTTCTAGGGGATCTTGGTTAGTTCCTAAACGAAATGGAAGAGACGAAGTACTAGAAGCAGGTTCCAAGGAACGTTTGGGAGTATGTGAGTGTATACCAGGGTATGCACGAAAAGTTAGGACAATAGGAAATGAGACTGTTAGTGTATGTATGTCGCCTGCAGTAGTATTAGCTGAGTATTTAAATGCAAATCGTACTGAAATTACAGTTATAAGGGTTTAATATTAGGGCAATAAATTAAAATGTATTCAAAATATATTATTTTGAAATAAAAAATTTTATTTTCATTCTGTTTTCTAATAGAATCATACATAAAATTATCTAAACACGAACATGTTGAAAAATTGTTACGGCTACTGCCAGTTCTATATAAAAATCGAGGAAACCAGCAAATTATTATACCAAATATGTTATTAATGTTATGAAAGCCTAACTAATATAACAATTATAAATGTACTTATCAATTCTCTGTCATAGAGTTGTCTGGCTGTATGGTTCATTAAAAGAAAACTGGGAAATTGAATGGAATGCTTTTTGTAACAGAAGTAACAACCTTTATACAAGAATTCACCCTGTTTTACCTACTGCGCCTTTTATTGCAAGAAGTCATCCCAATAGAAGAGTATATTCAATGTTTGTTAGATGCCTTGTTAATCATGGTACTGTGAAAGTCTATCTTCATAGATTTAATTTAAGTAAAACAGAACTTTGCGATTGTAATGGTAACATAAACGATATCAATACCTCAATAAAAAGAACAAATACCTCGTCCTCAGTGTCAATTAGGGCCTTGAAAGGAACGAATGAAAGTATGGTTCCTTGTCAATCTACCGATTCTTGTGATACTAATGTTTACATTATATTTTAATTTACCTCTATGCGAAGTACTATTTTGTTAACAAATGCAATAGGTCAATACATCATTAACAAATTTAAGTTGTCAAATTATTATAGTCATCATTATCGTAGCTGAATGGATCAAGTTATCCAAAGCCATTAAATAAAAAAAAATTCAGCCATAGTAATGAGTGGCTATACTTTCATATTAACCACAATTTAACGAATTAGGTGAGAAAAAAACAGGTCCATACTTCACATTAAGCTAGTTTTAGTCAGGAATAATTTATTAGTACATGACAATAACACTCGCGTAAAAGAGAAAAAATATATTTTTTTAAAATAAGTTATTGTCAAATGTAACTTTTGTAATTATTTTGTGTTCTGGTCTGTTTTATAACCAGGAGGAGTAATTCAAATTTTCCGCGCCGTAATGCTTGTTTGTAATTGATCCAACCGCATGCAAGTTTATTCCATTAAATTTCGACACATTGACACAAATGACATTTGTGAAATTTTAAAATTAAAAATTTATATCGACGATTTTCTGCGTTATTCCTTACATGTGTAGATTTTTCGTTTGTATTTATGTAAAAAACAGTTCTTTTCAGAACTATTTAGCGACATATTAGTGTTATAGATAACAATATGGATTCAATGCCATGTACTAGTGGTAATTATTTTTCTCCGCCTTAAAAACACCAAGTAGATTTGGGTCATTTATTATCAAATAAGAAAAAATGTATTATAAACATGTACAAACAAATAAAAATTGATAATTCTGGAATAAAAATAACAGCCACGGTAGCAAAAATAAAACAGGCAGCAGGTTAGTTTTGCAGAATAGTTATTGTTAAAATCAAGACTTACTAAAGTAATATGCTAATTTTAGGTGTTGCTAATTCAACTATTTACCGAACAATTAAAGAATATAAGCAGACTGGAACAGTAAGATATCCTAAAAATATTGACGGTTGACCTTCTATTCTTGCAACATACGATGAAAGAGTTAAAATATCTGTACGACAGATAGTATACAGATTGTTTTTTTAAAATGAAATGCCCACTTTTATGCCCACCCTAAGTAAAATTTTAAGTGAAATTACCAACCGCTCAGATCTTCCAAAATATGTGTAGTTTATTATTATATAAATTCTTGCAGCTAATCAATTTAAAGTAAGTAAATATGAGTTAGCCACAATTGTATAGTAAATTATCTAAAACATTTTATAGGTTTCATTTTTATAATCGGGTATATTATTCTTACTACTAAATAGTTTTTGTAATTAAAATTTATGAGTTACATGAGAAATGATTGTAATAGTACCCTTCTTGTTTGATCAAAATATTATTCCTATTTATAGACATAAGTACAACAACCTTTGTGTTACATGTTTTTGGAAACATACCAGTGTACAAATATTTTTATTTTGAGCATCATGTACTTACATTTCACTGTTATTTAAAGATATTATACTTGGTATGTTTGATGATGAGTATATTAAGTAATGATCTCATAAAGTAAGTTATTAAAAAAAATAAATTTTAAGTTTTTAATTGTATGTTCTACTTAAATGTTGTCAAGTATTTTGGTTCAACATATATGAGAACACGGAAAGGGAAGAAAAGAAAAAAAGAATATTTTTTATTTTACATACAAGCAGATTCATTGCAGCAAATATTGCATAGCATAACTATAGATTATTTATCTTATTGTTTATAAGATGATTAATTTATTGTCTATATTATGAATGTTTTACCATAGTTATTTTTTAGATGAAATTATTCAAAGAATAGTTTATATATTGGGCTGCTGACCAAAAACAAAACTTTCTTGCTCAAATATATGAAATAGATTCAGTTTTTGCTACAAAACTAAATGAAGAAATTCAAAATGGTATAGTTGTTCATGCCCCTCACCAAGACATAAATCGAGAGGATATTTTGGAAGACTAATAAAATTATTAAATTTTTATTTTTACATACATCTCGAATATATATTATGCACAGAATATTATTTTCCTCTAATATATAAATCGATTTCTGACTCTTTAAGTTGTTTGTAATAATTTGGACTTGGTGATATGAGAATAATATTTAATGTGATATTTTTCTAGATGATATTTATACTAAATATAGTTTAAAGTGTTTATAAATTTATAAATGTATGTTATTTATATCTACTTATCATAAGAAATACGGCAACTGAAGTCCTATCTTCGGTATAAAAGACTAAATAAAGGTAAACATCTGAACAGTAAAATGGTCGAAAAATATAGCTAATATAAATCTTTGATCTTTAGCAAATTTTAAATTCTTCAATTTTAGTCCATGTGATGTGCTGTATATCTTATATTGGAAAGATTTTATAGGATTATTATTTAGAATAAAAACTTCCTTGAAGGTATGCTTTAACGAACTTTTAGAAGTGTCCGATCAGTTATTGTTTATTTCTTCAGCCGTTACCCCCAGTTTAGCCAACTCTCTAACAATTCAGATGGTCGTCATAAGCTGAGAATAATAAAGAGATATTCATCATCACATATCTACAATTGTCCAAAGTCTCACAGACATCCACTTCTCCAGTGTGTGGCAACTCTCTTCAGATTATTTGTCCATCAGCTGAGCAGTCTTCCACAAATACGCCTGTCTATTGTCACTCTTTACGTCTTGCAACGTGCTATGTCCATATCCACTTTAAACTTTGCAAAACGCTATATCATACAAGTTCTTCATGTATCTCACCATTACGTATTCTGTCTCTCAAGTTAGACTAATCCATTAAACTTTTCATTTTAGTTTCTGCAACTTGTAATTGTCCCGTTGACGCTTAAAGTTGTTGGTTTTTTAACTCCAAATAATAAATAATAACGTATAAGGGAAAATCGGGGGAAAGTCCGAACGAGCGCAGGAATAAAAAAATCGTTAACAAAATTCATTTGATTTACATAATACCTCTTTTATAATTACCAAAGTATATTATATTATTCAGAAAAATGTTCATAAAACAAATAAAAATCTAATAATCTTTAAACATAGTCTAAAAATATGATAATTAATATCAGCTTACATCAAAATAATTATGCTAGCTTTCACATACAACAAAAAGATATTAAAAAGACATAAAATCGTCCATTTAGTCACCTTAAGAAAAAAAGGGAGCAACACTGCTATCTTATAATATATATTCTCAAACACAGTTTAGTGTTAATGCATAATTAAATATGTATTTCTTGATATAATTTGTACTATTTAATATATCTTAGAGTATATAAAGATACATTTTATGCTGTTTTTAAAAGATGTAAATAAAAAATATTAAACCAAAAAGTACTCACCTCAGTCTTCTCTTAATCTCTTTATTTTCTATTTCCAAAGCACTGATCTGATGTCGTTTTTCTTTAAGTTGATTTTCTAGTTTGTCTATTTGCTCAGTTTTATCGTCCACAACATTCTAAAAAATAATAAACACATATTTAAACAAAAAAAGTTTTAAATCATGAATGTGTTGCTTGCGTGAGTCCATTTCAAATAGGTAAAGAAATAATAAATAAGACTTACTCACAATCAATTTAATTTAACTATTAGACGACCGGTTTCGCTTTCTACAATATGCAAAGCATCTTCAGGTCTCGATGCAAAGTTAAATAAATGTTGAAATGATAAAAACCCATATTAGGGTGTTGTCTAATAAAGATAAACAAAGTAGATGTAAATTACAATAATTATGCCAATATTACATGTCTGTGGTTTTATTTCAAAAAGAGTAAGTTGAATAAAAGGTATAAAAAGTTTAAACAGACAAGGTAAGGCCCACAAATTGTTATAAAATAGTCTATTAGATTGTAATAAATTAATAAATGAGCAAATAAATTAACATTACTCACATGCCGGTACTCTATTAATTGATGGATGGTAGAACATGGTTGAAACTACTATGTATTGTTGAATGGAGAACTCAATTCTGCTATTGTAGTTGTTTGACAGTAAACGGGAAGTTCTTGAGGAGATAGATTTGATCCAATAAAGCAGAGATATGTGTGTGATTGTTTGTTAAATGAAAGTAATGTAATATACCATTGTATTATTAAAAGTTATTTATACTTATTCGAGAGATATATTTATGAAATGTGTGTTATTTATTGAGTAATTGTTTTATGAAGGTGACAGTTTTATGACAGTGAATAGTGGTAAAAGTGTTATCTATTAGATTTTACCACTAAAATCTAATAGATAACACATAAAAAACTATATCATTATATCATTTAACTTTGTATCGAGACCTGAAGATGCTTTGCATATTGTAGAAAGCGAAACCGGTCGTCTGATAGTTAAATTAAATTGATTGTGAGTAAGTCTTATTTATTATTTCTTTACCTATTTAAAAAAAGTTTTGTAATAGTCCAGTATAATAAAACACACAAGAGTAAATAGAATCGATTTAAAAATAAATTAGACTGAATAATTTAACTTAATACACACACACACACACACACACACACACACATAAACACACACACACACACACACACACACACACACACACACACACACACACACACACACACACACACACACACACACACACACACACACACACACACACACACACACACACATATATATATATATATATATATATATATATATATATATACGTACATATAGTAAACTTTTAAATACTGGGGAAATCTGCAAGAAAGACTCTAATGAGTATCAATTGTTTCGCCGAACGTTTTCGCCAAAGAGAATTAATTTGGCTTCTTCAGGGCTGAAAGAGAATAAATTATAATTAGCTACCATATTATCTATTAAAAAACACTGCGATCTTACCGTAACTTAGAATTGTAGAGTTAGAATGTTAAAAAATTTATCTAGTCACAACGTAGTGGTTTTTTTGTTACTATGTGAAAAAAAAAGTTTTTTTTTACCGTTGGAAATGTATGGTAGCTTTGAACTTAAAACGCAAAGGTGTACCCAAGGTCAATCGAAAAACCCAATGCAACTACATTTAAAAGGAAGTAATTCTTTGAATTGTCGGCAATAACTAAATTTTTGATTGTTTGAAGGTTTAAATGTGAGGTAAACTTTCAAACAATCAAAAATTTAGTTATTGCCGACAATTTAAAGAATTACTTTCTTTTAAATGTAGTTACATTGGGTTTTTCGATTAACCTTGGGTACACCATACATTTCCAACGGTAAAAAAAACTTTTTTTTCACATAGTAACAAAAAAATCACTATGTTGTTACTATGTTACACTACTATTTAACACTAAGTTTTTTAACATTCTAACTCTACAATTCTAAGTTACGGTAAGATCACAGCGTTTTTTAATAGATAATATATAGCAGCTAATTATAATTTATTCTCTTTCAGCCCTGAAGAAGCCAAATTAATTCTCTTTGACGAAAACGTTCGCCGAAACAATTGATACTCATTAGAGTCTTTCTTGCATATTTCCCCAATATTTAAGAGTTTACTCTTTAAATCTACAAAGATTAAATTTCTTCTCTCTCTCTCTCTCTCTCTCTCTCTCTCTCTATTAATCCAATATAAATTAAGGATCACTCGAAGAGTGGTGAGTTTTTCGGTCAAAAGGTGGAGAGAAAAAAGACAAAGAAGGTGGCTACTTCATCTATTTATTGAAGACGTTTCGCTTTCTGATCAGAACGCATTATCAGTTCATCTAAAAAGAACAATATGAAAAACCAAACATCTATAGAAAAGTAATTATAAGTGTGTTACCTCAAAAAGATGTCTAGCAGTCAATGATATTAAATATGCAAAGAAGCTTATGACATTGGACATTGAATGATTATTGTATAAACAATTAATTGAAACTAAATACAGTTTACAAATTAACTCAAACTTAGCACAGCAAAAGACCATGTGGTATATATATACTTATATACATACACAAAAAAATGATTTCTCATTTAAGGGACCTCCATACCACGGATCGGTCTGGATGACCGTATCCACCATCATCTTTTCGGCTGGCTAGTATCTGTATTTCTTTAGCCAGTCTAGGACTGGCTATGTCTTGTTTAATGTTTGAGAGGTTTTTTCAGTTTTGTCACCACCACTTTTATGCTTTTGTGTGTTTTAGGGATCTTCACCATCAATTTAATGAGGACTTACTAATTTTTGGTAGGTCTACAATCCTTCCATAATAGAGAAGTATTATGATAGCACTATGATAACATAAATGAGAATCCTAAGAAGAATATCATGTATCATGTATCATATCAAAAAGTATCGATATCAGAAATGCGTGCAGAATACACAACATAAATGAATAAGTGTAATTTCAAAAAGAAGAATATAATAGTGACATTAGTAGTATGGTAGAAAACAGAATAGTTCGAATAGCCCGAGATAAGTCACCAATCAGAAAAAGAAGCATATGTTGACCTAGAACGAGATAGAATGACAATATTTCAACAGCCTAAGAGGCAATGTTAAAGAAAAACAAGCAAGAGTCCTAGAAAAAGTAGTCCTAAATAAAAATTGAAGAACACACTTACCAATAACTCGTCCTTTTCTTTATCGATCTTATTTAGTTGACTCTTCATAACTTCCACATCTCCTTGTAGACGAGCGATATCCCTTTCATAACCGGACGTTTCACGATGGCTTAGATTCATCTTGGAATGTAGACTCTGTAATTCTGTTTCGGCTCTGAGAAGCTGGGACTGTGTATCAGACAATGCTCGATTCGATTGATCATGGAGAATTCTGAAAATTAAAATGAAGTTATATTGTCTGCAACAGCCCAGAAAAGCTTCACAGATGTTGTCTAGAAGCAGGTTAGCCAGAAATCTCCAGTTCGACTTCGCTTCTGATGGTATCGCACCTATCGGCATACAGATATCGATAGTCGATCGTTCGTTGACCGAAGTTTGTCACCTTGTAGTAGAAGCACAAAATATTTTCAGTCCATGAGACTTCTATCACACTGCATGGTCTTATAGACCCAGCCAATATATGTTGTCTAGGAGGTTTTCGAGATATAACACCAATATATTTGGCGACATTTTTGTTCTATTTAACATGCAGATTATTGTTGTTACTTATCGCCATGTTTTAAATTATTATTATTATTATTATTTTCACATAATAACTAACTATATATTACTTTCAGATATGCTATCTAATGTGCTCAAGCTCTCGTTTATATGGTAATATCAAATAATTTGAAACTAACTTATATGCAAAGGGGGACTGAATATATGAAGAATAAAAACAAATATGAAAAAAAAGTTCTTATATGTATCTACCTTATCCATTTTGACAAGTTTACCTAAATTTAAATTATTTGAAGGAGATTTAAATGAGAAATATCTTATTTAATATTCACTACTGATATATCCTGAGAAATATATTATTTATCCGTGCTTAGAAGAACCTCAAAAGAGGTACATAATTGTCGTAAAGTTTTTTATAATGGACTAAAAAATTCTGTAACGGTAACAATAACGACCAGGATTAAAACCAGTTCCAGCATCAAGATTTAACATAAAAAACCAAAGGCCATTGGTTTATCACTCGCCGACTCCACTTTGTATTAAAATCCCACAAAAAATGTGAATCAACTTCACTTTTGAAAGTTGTAACACAGTATAAATTTATGCGTAAGAAAATCGGTGATTTTATCTGCATGGTATAATTAAAATGAAACACCTTTTGATCAATATAACTCTTTCAGTGGATACTGGATATCGAGTAGCGGAAACATACATATATTCTATTCTCTTATATGGAACAGAGACATGACGATGAATGATGGAATTTAGAAGACTCCTGAAATTACCATGGTCACACCATGTCACTAACGAGGTAGGAGTGTCTAACATTTACAATGGCAGAAAACATTATCAAGAAGCACAAAACCAGTTATCTAGGCCGTGTATACCGGAGAAGATATGAGCTCTTGAAGTTCTTGATACAGGGTAAAATTAAAGGAAGCAGAGGTCCAGGTAGGAGAAAATGTTTATGGTTGAAGAACATGAGAGTTGACGGGTCTCGATACTCAATCGTTATTGAATGCCGCACAATTGATGCTGACCTTCAGAAATGAAGAGGGCGATCTAAGAAGATGGTATTGACATGCACCTTGTCATTTAAAATCTGGATTCTTCCTTTTTCTTCACTTTTAAACGCCGACAAGTATGAAAGTACATTCGGAAAGCAGTGGGCACGGCATCCTCTAGCAATTTCGACAATTTTAAGGGTATATGTTCTACTTCTCATAATAGTAAAAGTAATTTTTGTATCGTTGACGTTTTATAATTGCACCTTCCATAAAATGTTTTTCCCATACAGCTACTTTGTCAGATGATATATCGAGTGGTCTCTTGGAATGGCTCTTAATCCTGTTTCCTTCCTAATAGGATTATTTAGTCTTTCCAATGTAGACACAGCTCCATCACCTTTTGCCAACTAATTTTGGTAGTTTAAAATGCATTTTGGAACAATGCTTCCTAGATATCTGAGACACTTATGTTGTTTTAGTTAGGTGCATAAACATGTATTTATCATTTCTGCTGAAATCAATTTTCAGTAGAAATGATTATCTAGATATTAAGACTTAAATTGTATATTAATGACAAAAACATAATTTATGTAGTCAGCAATATCAGCAATATCAGGAATCACCAAAAACGATTTGCCCTTTGTGGGTAAAATGTTGATAATATTATATTAACAAAACATACAATACAAATAAGCTATTATTTCAAACTGACAAATGCTCTGGGTGACTTAGCATTACACTATGATGAAAATCATCTGAAACCCAATCTCACAAAAACCTAGATGTGTGCTTTTCACCTTAGAAACAAGCATTCCCGAAGGCCTCTTGGGGTGGAATGGTGTGGTCAGATGCTGGAACACAACGAGACGCCACAATACCTCGGCTTACGTGTGGATAGAACTCTGTCTTATCAATACCACTGTCAAGATGTCAATAAAAAGTAAGCGCCAGTAATAATACCATCGTCAAACTAATACAAAATGGACACAACTACACACTCTCCGCACCAGTGTGTGCTCACGCTAAAATCGTCGACGTGGCTCTAAATGGAACGGTTCGTATAATATCGGGTTACCTGAATCCGACATCTATCAAAGAGGTCTCCATAGTACGAATCGCTCGACCACCTATGACAAGCGTCATCTACCACAATACATTTTGCCCTCTCAGGGGAATTGGCTGCTGGACTTTGTCGTATCCGACATGGAAAGTGCTAAACAGACTGAAAAAAAAGTTGATCAGGAGGAAGATACCTGCGACTGTGACGCGGTTCAAAATGGTTACCATATGCTATCATGCACAGAGATAAGAGAGACCTGCACAGAAGACCTAATTTTATAGTAACTCGGCGTCGGGTTGATACAAAAATAAAATACCACAAGAACAAAACTTCGGAACAATCTTTAAGCTAGCAATCAACCTAAATCAAGTCGACAACTCTGTTTATTGCTGCATCACTTTTTGAATGTGTGCCGCAGTCGCAGATAAAATTTCTGGAAGAAATAATTAATTAAGTGATAGATTCGACGGCCACTTGATAGAAGTTCATTTTATCTAACAATAAAACATTGAAACATTTTGTTTCCAACACTTCAGCAGAGTACCTGTCTCACGTGATGTATTTTTACTACGCGTCTATACTTTATAGTCTAAAACTGAATAAGTTTTGGAAATGAAGGTCTTTGTATCAAATTGGTAATTCAGAATTGTATCTGTATTTTTTAATTTAATAATTTCCATATATTTGAATTAAGATAGATTAATACCTTTATTTTTAATATGAAGAATTTTGAATTGGTCACTAAAAGTATGATTATGCTCTAAAAGGTAAAACGCGTACTAATAATCTCTTTTTGTTTTATTATTAAAAGCCCTCTTCTGATATACGATTTTTAAAGGATTTACAATTTTGACCGATGTAAGTTTTTGTGCAGTTACCACATGTAAGTTTATAATACACCACTGTTTAAGTGCTTTTCTTCTGCCTCTTGAAGATTTTAATATATTTGCTTAAGTTGTTGTTTATTCTCATGCTGGTGTTTATTCCTTTCTTTTTGATGTGTTTGGCTATTTTTATTGATATCTTGCCTGTATATGTAATCGAGCAAAAGGTACGGGTTTTTTCTCTGGTGGTGGAAATAGTAATTTCAGGGCTTTCTTATGTAGTTTTCGGTTTAAAATTTTGTTTGTTGTTTGTTCGTAGTACCCATTGTTTACTACTATTTGTTTAAGGATATTCAATTCTATCTCAAAGTTATTTTTTGACATGGGAATTTCTGTTACTCTATGTAACAGTTACTCTATGTAACAACTTTATTCAGTTTAAGAGATGCACGGGCGTAGCCAGGAGGGAGTTTGGGAATTTAAACCATCAAAAAAGTTAATATATTAATATTCATAAAATTAAAATGAGGATAGGTACGCAGCATATTCTATTCATCATCATCACGGTGCTACAGCGCTTAAAGAGTCTCAATCTTTATGTGCCATTCTGTTGTGTTCCATATTTGAATTTTCCAGTTGGCAACACCGATCTTCCCAAAAAATCGATAGAAATAATTCGTCTAGTTCGATTAGGGTCCATGCCTCTGATCCAACGGTGACAATCGGTGGTCTATACAGTCTCATACGAGGTTTTTGAGACAGAAGTTTGTCTGTTTAATTCATTACTAACTAATTCATATGTTATATCATCTATTGATTCTGCCAAATAAGATATTGTTTTCATGAGCATCAAGACCAAAATCGAGGATGAAGATGTAAATGCATCAATTTCACAATAGCCTTGGACTTCACTTAAGATTATAAATTTCCCATTTCTAAAAAAAAAAAAAAATTTGCGTTTTCAAATTAAATGGATGGAAATATTCCCCTAGTTGTCATATTCTGAATATAAAAGTAGAGCATACTGTAGAATTTACGTCGTAATGGGTCGCTCGCTTAATCAGCAGTTTGGTCAGCTTATAACCGACCCTTTTTTAAGTAGAAAAATGCCCTAAAAACATTTGAAACTCATGCAAAATCAGGATATCATACACGAAATTCGGAACTCAGAAGTACTGTCTTCTCAGGATTTTTCAGTCGAGGAGCAGTTGTGTTCTGAAAGAAGGAGACAGCAACAAGAAAACCGTAAGAAACTAATACCTATTGTAAAATGAATAACTTTTTGCGGCTTTTTTTTGAATAAAAAGGATATCCCTTGTTAAGAGTTAAAACTGATTCGGGACGGACTCGCATTGCACCAGAGTCTTAACAACCACTTCAGAATGATAGTAAGTTTCGAGCACAGCTACGATACGCAACAGAATCTGGGGATAAAGATCTTTCTGAACATTTGGTCACTTCTTAGAAGAATGCCCTTTACACTGTAACCGTTTCAAATTATTTTTCAAAGTTTCAAAAATTTATTATTATAATTACTAGTGAATATGCACCTATCCGGCCATCTATCCGCCGAGTGCATCTGAATTACTTCAAGGATCCAACTGTAGCTCCGACTTTGGCCTCAAAATCCGAGCAATCGTAACCTCCCGGCAATTCATCTCTCTTTTCTGTCTCTGAACATCCAGCATACGGGACCAAATTTTGTTTGAGTGGTCTCTTGACGACGTAAGTCAAAAAATTCCTTTTTTCTTTTATATTTCAAATAGATATTTAATTTAGACCCTTACCGGGTGCACTAATAGTTGCCAGAACTATTTTTATTGGCCCGAGATTATCTAAATAGAGATTCATTTATGAATTACTGTTATTTGGTATAAGTGCCTTTTGTGGAATATCCCGTGGTGGGTATATGTTTCTGCTGCCAATAGATTCATCGTTTCGAAATCCCAGCCTGACTACCTAGTTGGTAAAAATTATACCCTTTTTAGAAGCCACACAAGCATTTGCACAATTCAGATTGTACCAATTTTATATATTTTTTTTATTGAACAGTGAAGAGTATCTATGAATTAAATAATTGTGATGTGATTTATTATTGGTCTTTTAATTACGTAAATATGCTTATAGCGTATACATAAATAGCGTAGAATATGCTGGTATCTGATCGGCCTATGGTGGAGCAGTACGGCAAGAGATAAGGGCTTGTGGTTCGGTGATACTCCTCCATAGATCCATACCGGAAGAGCGTGTGCCGCCTAAATATCGGATATATATATATATATATATATATATATATATATATATATATATATATATATATTATATATATATATATATATATATTTATATATATATATATATATATATATATATATATATATATATATATAATACGTATCCCACAAATCGTCGGAAGAGAGTTGAATACACTATCCTGTGTGTAACTATCAAATTTCCAGCCGGTTGTGAAATTGAAGAGACATTTTATATGTATTTGACAGTGCTGTCCGAAAAAAAAGGACATATGTCGTCAAAGCAGAAGAAATAATTTTACCTGTAAAAATTCGTAAGTATATATTTTTTACGTTTAGATTTCATTATTTGACATCTAAAATTGAAGTTATGAGGTTATCAAAAAAAAAAAAGATTGTATGTAGTAAATAAAATTAATTATTAAATTGCAGTATTACTATTAACATGGATGCAATAATAAAAACTGGATTCCAGAAAATTAATCATAAAATACCTTTTCAACCAACTATCATATCCACTGTAAAATATAATTAATAATTGCATATCATATCAATATTATGGAGCGACATTAACGCCCGATTTGATAATGACTTGTCAATCCAAACCTTTCAAAGAAACTCACATCGCATTGGTTTAAATAATTAATTCATGTTCTGTTAAATTTTGGGTGACGTAATCCGAACTTGAAGAAATATTGAGCATTTTTTTTTAATTAAAAAAAAAATTGTAAACAAACTTAAGCCAACATGATTATTAATGAAATTTAAAGTGAACTTTAATTTAACGTTCACGTCATTATGAAATCGGGCGTAAGAATGCAGAATTTGAGTTATGTTACTTACTTCTGCTTTATTATGATACTAATCCACTTTTCTCGTTGCATTAACTTGTGCTTAGAAGTTGAAAACCAATATAACTTCAATTTTCTATTTTTTGTTGTATTTTTAAAATTTATAACACAGCATTTGCGAGATCCCGTTTTCTTCAATAACTACTTATGAAATATGTTAACAAAGTTGTAAGACGTACCGCTGCACGCGTACGATCGTTTCTCTTATGCCCTCCAAATACATACACACAGCGAATAAGTGTGTGTATAAACAATATATCATTACGAAACATTCGTAGGAGTAATATTAGGAAAAAGAAAAATCAATTACTTACTTCAGCTGTTCATAATTGGCTTTATGTGTATTAGCTTCGTTTTGTGCTAATTTCAATTTCTCTTTAAGGATCTGACATTCATCTTCAAGATGCGTTATGTTAGACCGATTAGTATTTTGGCTAATAACTAGATCTCTTCTTTCATTCTCGAGTTTAGTTATATGTTCCTCCATTTCTTGAAAAGCCCTTTTCATTCTTTCTTCGTTGAAAACCGAAGATTCGTTAAGAGCCTAAAATTATAATAGTCATTACTTTGTTTAAAATTCGGTTAGTTTGTTAAATTTTAGTTAGTTTATAAAAACTAAACTTCAATAAATAGACAAAATAATATGTAAACACAATAATACATTCGCTTACTTGTATTCTGCCTTTAAGTGCAGAGTTTTCTTTCTCTAGGTGTTTAACTTCTTCTCGGTGTACATCTAATTCTCTCGCTCTTCTTTTGCAGGCAGTCTAAAAATTAAACAAATATGTATACTGCCTGTCTATTTGATATACCCGGATCAAGGAAAACTTGTAAACAGACCCCACTTGTGTGAAATTATTAAATAATCTCAGGTTCTCCAATGACTGTATTCTACGGCGAACATTTTTAGACTCTGTTCTTGTTGTTGTAGTTTTACCTGACTTAAAATAAAGAGAAAGGGGGCTGCTGCCTAATGTTAGAGATGTTAGATTTGCCCGTCTATTATTAGATAAATTAGGGGCTATGTATACACTAGGTGAAAGTATAAGGAGAGAAATAAGCTTTTGAGATTTTTACTGTTTATTGTGACTTTTCATATTTCCTAACGTATTTTTTGCTTTATCTATACACCTGTTCTTACATCCTCTTTTAAATCTTTTTTAAAAACATTCACGCTATCTTAGCCTTGACTATCTGGGTATATGGCTAGGGTAGATACCAAATTATCACTTCGGATTCATTCAAAATTTTTAAAAATTCGAACAATGCGATATACGGAGTTAGCCACATTATATCACGGATAAAAAAGAGGGTGTGAGCTTCCACGAATGTACGCATGCTCGGCAGCATTCGACATATTCAGATAGACATATAGACTTTATAAAAATAATTAAAAAGGTGACACAAGATCACGAAATTAAAAAGAATTCAAAGATTTTCTACAGAACCATCAAACGGTAAACGGTATTTTTTAAACGGTATCAATGAAAGACTAAACCAAACATTGATTAATAAAAAAAGATGCAAAATAAATTAAAGTCGTAAGAAAACAGCATGGTTAACAATTGTCCAAGCATGTGTACAACAATATAATGAGACAGAGACAACAAAATTTGCACCAAAATATTTATTAGAAGGAGAAAATTTTTCAGTTCGTTAGGCATAATGCCTAACAAGCTGAAATCTATAGGAACACAGGCAGATCTTGAAAGATACCGAAAAATTGCTTTGGAAAATTAAAAAAAATCACACAATTACTATAAAAAGCGATTCGATCTACATACGAAGAAAATTAAATTAAATGTTGAAGATTTAGTATACGTGGAGAATGGAAACGGTCTAAACAGAAAGAAGTTAGATGAACTACGGAATGGAGTATACAAAATATTAAAAAAGATTTTCAATTCAATTTACGAAGTTGACACTGGACATAGGAAAATGGATCCAAACTTATTCCAGTGTTGAAAGAGAATATTCGCTAAACAGTTAGGCTAGATATTGTTTATAATGGTTCTTCTGAAAAGGGTGGGGGAGAAAGTCTTATTTAGCTTTTGACATAAGAGACGTCATTTTAATATTAGTTAAAAGCTTCAAATGTTGTTTCTTTTTGTAGGTAATGTTATTTTTATGTAATATTGTACGACTAATAATAAAGTTTTCTTTTTGCTGAGAAACGCAATTAAGTTTTGGAACACAAGTTCCAGTGGTCAGTAAAAATTAAGAATGTGCCGATATTTTGGTTAGATTTTTATTATTTCTGTAATAATTTCTTCAATAATTGAAGTTCAAAATACAAGAAGTATATTTAACTTATTCTTATTATTTGCTACAAATTTGGTATTACCTTCGTACAGTATCTATCTACTTCAATGTCAGTCATTTCTCGACTCTGAGCTTCAAGCCTGGACGACAAAGCATACCTTTCGGTAGTGGCAGTTTTTAAATCATCTTGGAGAGTAGTAATAATCAGTTCTTTTTCTCGTATTTTATCCATTAACTCTTCAACTTGCTAAAAAATACACATTAGTAAGAAATAGTATAAAATGTTTATTATTATTTATTTTTTATGAATTACAACGAAAAAGTGTAAAATGATTACAGAATATGAATATTTTAACATGTTTAACGTATTTTATTAAAGTTGTCTAAAACCTTTTTACTTGAAATTAAGTGTATCTCGCAAAATATATTGACGGATATATATATATATATATATATATATATATATATATACATATATATATATATATATATATATATATATTATATATATATATATATATATGTATGTATATATTACAGGATCCAACTGTAAATATTATACATTTTGGAGACGGCTATCGCTGTAGTCCCGTTCTCCTCCGCAATCCTCCCGGTCTAAGGCATGCTCATTATCCAAACCTCTCGATTCCATAGCTTTTCTAATTCCTTCGTTCCATGAGCGTCGAGGTCTACCTTTTTTTCTTCTTTCAGGGGGCTTCCATCTGTGAAGTTTTTGGGGCCAACGTTCGTCAGGCATTCTCAATAGGTGTCCAAACCATTTTAAACCTCTTCTTTCTATCGTGTCAATGACCGTTTCTGTAGCACTCATGTTGTTTCTTATATATTCGTTGCTCTTTCTTTCCAGCCTTGATGTTCTAGCACTTCTTCTCAAATAATTCATTTCAACTGCCAACAATCTTCTCTTCAGGTCTGCATTAATTATCCATACTTCAAAGCCATAACAAAGAACCGATTCAACCATGGTTTGTCCTATTATTTTTTTGTTCCTTTTGGAAATGTTGCGATCCCATCATAATGAGTTCAGACATCCTACCATTTTACGTCCCTGATTAATTCGGTGTTTAATTTCGGTTTCTCCCAAGCCGTTCTTATCAATGAGTGCATCTAAATATTTAAATTTTTCCACTTGTTTGATTTCCACGTCCTCATCTATCACCACTTTAAACTTTGCATATGAATTGGTAACTAAATATTCTGTTTTCTTCATACTGACTTGTAACCCGCATTTTACATATTCTCTGTATAGACGCTTTATCATAAATTCTAGATCATAAGATTCTTGAACTAGGACGACTTGGTCATACGCAAAGTTCAGGAAGAACGGTACGTCATTTCCTATGGGGGTTTCTATTCCATGGCAGTGGTTTTTTTCAATTTTGGAGGGCTGCCTCAATATATAAATTAAACAGTAAGGGTGGCATACTGCATCCTTGTCTTAGTCCTTTAGTTAACCATTTAACCAACTTAGTATTATAATTTTCAAGCAAAGATAACATATTCTCAAACTAAAGAATTAAAGAATTTTTGTTCACCCGGTAGACACAATAGTTGATTAACTATACCATTTCTACCATATCTACTATATGATAATATCATATTATGAAGCCATCACCATATGAAATCTGGTGATGGCTTCATATCATAGGATACCCAAATATGGAGTTAAAGCCATTTGCCGCCGAAGAGATGTATGTGGCAGAGGGACCACATAATTCAGGTTTCAGGTTTACACCTAGTACACAGACAGGCGTAGTTTTCGGGCACCAGTGGTACCGTAAGCTTTCACTAGGAGAATATACCTTTGTAGCACAGGCAGAAATTTATGCCGTATTTAATTATGCAAGACATATCATCAGGAATGGTTTTGAACTTAGCGGATTAATATATGCACAGATAATTAAGCGACTATGAGCCCCTTAGGAGATCCAAGGTAGTGTCCTAGCTTTCCACGCTAGCCTAGACTGGCAGAGCATAATAGTATCACACTGATCAGCTACAAAATACTCTGATCCAGAGTCGACTTTGAGAGTACCAAAACATACTGTCCGCGAGGGGATGAGAATCTGGACCTGAACACAATATAACTACCACTGAGATCAAGCACATGGGAAAATATATATTGGATGTACTGCGGAAATTTGGCGGTAATCAGTTCAGAATCATAATATGCTTCTTTACGGAAGAAGTGCCAATAGACACCTGCACATAATAAGTCTGTTTCAATTAGAGTTTGGCTACAGAACTTAAAATATTCAACCATTTTGCACAACTCCGAGACACAAGATTGTAGGTGGTAAGCACTTTTTTGAAACAAAGACTGTATAAACACATGGTACCCATTCACTAGTACAGCTGGTATAGGATTATTCTGGACATAATTCTGAACAGGGTATTACGAATAAATGGAAGATGATACGACGACGAAAAACAAAACGGCGTCGTTATATAGTATGGAAGAGTTATATACGCTCTAAATGATTTAAAAAACAATACATAATATTTTATACATTTTCCAAAGCCTTTATTTCTTTATAAACCTTTATAAACAACGTTATTTCTGTATTAAATAAAAAATATTTATTTAATAAATATTTCTTTATAATAGACTAGTGACATAAGACGTATAATATATATTATTAAAATTCGATGGGGTTTTCATTACGGAAAGACAGACAGAATAATCAAATTATAATATTGATAAGTGGAGTATACTTATATGTTACTTACTTTACTGGATTTCTCAAATTGTGGTGTTGACTTATTATGTTCTAATAATTTGTGGTATTCCTTTAAATAAAATTCTTTTTCTTTTCGTAAAGATTCAATTTGCTGGGAAGCCTAAAATAAAGAAAAATAATGGCATCGTTTTTAAATTTACATTAAACTCATATTATTTAATGAACTCAGTCGCAACTCTCTAGTAAACTTAATACTTCATTCTGTGCTAAGTTGGTAAAATTTTAACGCTGACTAGAAGTGGCTGTAAGTTACTGTACAACCAAGCACATGTGCTCATAACCAATATTGAGTGCAACTTAAAAGTAAAAAATTATTAACATGCAGAGTCAATGAAAACAATAAAACAAAAGGTCATATTGTTTATTTTTGTAATTTTATAGTCGTTTATAGATTCCTATTTACAAGTAGGAAGTTTTTAATAAAAAATAGTAAAGTTTTGTTTTTATGCCATTAGCATTTAGCGTTTAAATTTGGTAACTTTCCTGTCAATAATTACCCACTACTTTTATTTTTTTTATTTAGGCAGTTTTTTTCTTCATAAATTTTTGCTGTTTGTGTAGAACACATTAATGTAATGTGACTTAATGTAAAGATTTTTACTTAAAATCAGAAACCAATATAATTGTATTCATTTATAAATTTATTAACAAACTTTGCAATACAATAAAAGTATGTGATATTAATTATTCAAACTTGAATTATAGAATACAAATTTTATATTTATTTAAATTAAGAATAACAGTAATTATATAAGAATATTACATAATATCTTTAGCCTAGTTTAAATGAACACAGTATGTACCGAATTTATGCTTTGTAAATAAAAGAAGTTCATGTCATAACATATATGAATGGAGCTCATATTTTGGGTTTAGTGTATACTTCCATTATTGATAATTATTCATCTTTTTTTTACTTAAGGAAGCATACACCAGCTAGATTATTTAAGCTAATATTAAAGAGTGGTAATAATGTTTATGTTGTATATTTGTGACAATGATTCTGTTAAAATTTTCCCAAACTAAATGTTTGGACTATCCTACGTATCGTGTATGACATTGTTTTGACCTAAACTTATCCATAATCTTTTACAAGAGATTTAGGGTACTAATACATCTGCAAACCTAATTGTTCCTAAGGAGCTACATTATTAATATTTAAAGTGACTTGTCAACGCTATATCAATGTTAATAGAGCTGCGGAAAAATACTGCGAAGTGGCATATTGCTTGTTCTTAAAGAGAAGCGACAATCTTCATTATCTGCCGTGCGATGATAATGAAGAAACTAAGCCAATTTGATAACTAACATGCCACTTTTATTACTCTAAAACAGTGCAAAAAATTTTGGAAAATACTTGCTTTTATCGTTTATAACATTTTGCGATTAGTAATATTTCTTGATTATTATTAATTATTCGTGATTTTCCTAATATTTCCCGAGCAATTCCATTTTCGTAACTTTTTTCAACATTTATTTTTATGTGACTTTGTTTATTGCTTCAACATGTCTAAAATATTGGCATCAGTGTCATCTACCACTACAACACATATTGAGCTTAGAAAATGATCGCTTTCTTCAATTAAGGCTGTTTTAGCAGTCAAAGCACACTGCGATTTGAAATGGGCCTATCACTTACTTTTCTACACTGCTGACGCCAGCCGACGGGTACAGCTGTTTTCTCAGTGGCGCCGGCCGACGGGTAGTTTAATGACAACAGATGCATTATTCTCCATTTAAATTAGTTTTGTCGGGGATACCTTTTTTGATTGATTATCGTAGACGTTTTAAAAAGAATTATCACATTTTTAATTTATATGTCTTAGCTAAATATAGTATTGAATAAAAATTTGTGAAACGTGACTGCAAAAAACATCATGGTGTTTATTTATAATAAATTTAAAATAACATAAAAATATTATTATCAAAAAAATATATATAATTTGTTGTCACAAACAAATAAACAATTTCGTAGTTATAGCTTGAAAATTATTACATATCGAACTAACTGACCGTACGTTTATGAGATTTGACGACACGAAGGCGATAACGATGAAACTAAGTGCCAATGATGAGTAACACGTTTCACTATTAGATTTCAGTATTTTTTAGCAATTTTCTTCAAAGTTTAATCACGCTTTTCTCGATTAATTACTGGACACAGAAAGAAGAAAAAAAAATCAACGATTACAGAAAAAAAAAACTCTTTCAAGTATTTCCAAGCATAATCCGGTATTTCAAAAGAAATTTCAAAAAAATTAAAAAAGTAAAACTACTAATTTAAAGGCAACATAATTTTGAATAAGGTGTCCAAATTTCGAGACATTTTGTCGGTAAATAAAGAGAAAACACTATCTCTAGGTTTTGGTGTACCGATAAAACAGCCTTAACAAATCGCATAACAGAAGTCAGCAACAGATACGGACTAGCTCTTAACATAAAGAAAACCAAATTTATGACAATTAGTAAAAAACCAATACTAAACGCTCAACTTACAATTAACCAACAGAATATCGAAAGAGTAGAGCAATATACATATCTAGGCACCAATTTAAATAGCCAATGGAACCACTCAACAGAAATTAAACAGCGAATAATAAAAGCAAAAGCAGCATTAGTTAGAATGAGAACCATTTCCAACAGTCGAGACATATCATTAAAAACAAAATGCCGTCTATTGAACTGCTACATATTCACAGTTCTGCTCTACGGAATGGAAGCGTGGACACTGACTGTTGCAACTATGAATCGGCTCAAAGCTTTCGAAATGTGGTGTTATAGGCGCATCTTACGTATATTCTGGGATGACAGAGTTACTAATGTGGAGGTCCTGCGTAGAATGGGGAAAGAATGCGAAATTCTCATGACCGTCAAAACTGAAAAGTTAGAATATCTAGGACATGTAATGAGAAATCAAGAACGTTACGGCCTTCTCCAGCTGCTTCTCCAAGGGAAGGTAAATAGTAAGGGAGGACCGGGAAGAAGACGCATTTCCTGGCTTCAAAATTTACGAAGTGGTATAACACGACTACCACTGAACTGTTCGCGCTGCAGTAAACAAAGTAAAGATAGCCGTGATGATCGCCAATATCCGGAACGGATAGGCACTTTAAGAAGAAGAAGTGTCAGTTGGACCTTAGTTTCATAGAATTTTAAAATGTGCAGATCACATCACCATGATTGTGACTGCCCATCCAAGCTGTCATATGTCACATGTCACCATAACATTTCGTTAAGACCAGGAGCCATTCTCTCTCCTGATGCCAACCATAATGTAGCTTCTCCTTTTTTAAAAATTTTAAACTGTTTGTTCTTGTGTAGTGTAGTGTAATGTACAATTTTATGTTTACGATATTCTCCACAAATTGTTGGATAGGCCTAAATTGAAGAAGTAAGTCTAAAACGTTATATCACATAAAAACTTTTATCAACCCTCAACTTGAGTTTTTTATGGAAGTTAATTGATTTTCTTCAGTTAAAAAAAACGTTTTTAGCTTATTTCAGATGCCCCTGAAGATACTCTAGGCAGCGAAAGTACTTGGGCAAGATTTAATTAATAAACTATGCTCGGTATCTGCCTTTTCATTAGATCAATGATCACTTATTCGAGCATTCAACCTTACATCAAAAATTAATAAACTAGAGTTTCAATCATAGTGGACTCTTTTTAAATTAAAAATAGAGAGTTATCAAGTGAAAGAGTGAGAATACGGTAACGTTATTTTGAGAGCGGAGCATGCGCAATATGAAATGTGAATAACGTAAATGATTTTAACGTTTACGGGTTCGGGTTACCGTACGTCGAATAGCGGGTTTGATATACGGTAACGTTAGCAGCGAATCGCACCCAATTCGTCAAGACTCGGGACTCGAGTTCATGTTCTGTAATTTTATCACTATGCATTGTGCATTGGTTAACACGTGTTTTCTGTTTTCTTGGTTAAGCATCTGCGAGACAAAATAAAACATTTTATTATATTTCATTATATTTATCAATTATGAACACGGAAATAGTAAAAACGACAAAAAGGCTGCATTCTACAAGAACTGATGACCTTTTACTAGTAAAAAAAGTGCGAGGAGTCAACTCTCTGGAATGTTTTGTTTTTCAAACCGAAAATATTATTTGGCTTGCTCAGGCTCTAAGCTATCCAAATTGAATACCGAATGTACATTTTGTATATTATCATTTCAAATATGATTTAGTATTAAATCTTCTATAACTTCGTCGTTTGCTTCAACTAATATTGCTTGTTCTAAAATGTCTTTCATATTTCTGTAGAAAAAATTTGAAACCCAAAATGTACAAAACCAGACAAAATATATACCTTGGATGAAAGAAAACACAAAAATTATTTATTTTGCAGTCACATACGATATTTAACTGACAGCTGCCAACTATTAACGTGAAGCACCAATTCGACTATTTGATAACTCTAAAATTACATATTCGTAAAACTTTATACCGTAAAAAATAGCGTTTACATGTCAAAATAACGGAAGGATAAAGTTTTACTTGATAACTCTCTAATGTTTGACAAGGAAAATTGCTAGGCTCTAATATAATTAACAAATATTTTTAGTTAAATTGGGACCTATTATGCATATAGAAAAGTAAAGTATAATATAACGCGGGAAAATATTGTGCCTGTATTACGCTTTAATATAATTATAATCATAGTAACTCTGCACCTATTAACAATAAATCCTATTATAATTCGCGAAACTGTTCTTTTGGTATTAAAAAGCATCTATTAGAGTTAAAATTACTACTTAACAACGTCATAACTACTGCAATTGACGTATACACGAAAAAAATTAGTTCTCAAAGAATTCGAATCTTGTTTACGCATTTACCTGTTCTTGTCTCAAAGCCATATCTTTCTCGAGCAGCTCCCTCATCCATTTAATACAACCGCCAACTTCGCAACAACACTTTGATCCCATTTTAGGATCGTACTGCAAGCCAGGAGGTGAAGGTTTGATCTGATCTAAGCTCTCTTTTGCTTCATTCGCTACCGAATCCAGTTTAGCTGATCCTGAAAGAGCTTTCCTGCAAGTTTTTTTGTGAATTTTTGTAACCGATATTTTTTTGGTATGAGCGGATGAATCAGGTATTTGAGATCGTTGTTTCTGCAAGTTTTCTACATCAAGGCTTGATCTCTAAACAAAACAATTTAATGTATAACTTTGATCTAAATATTCACGATAATACAAACAATTATGAGGATATACCATTTTACGGCATAGTCAAATTATATCTATTTAAAACATTTTACAAAAATTTGATATTCAATCTGAAACTTTAATAAAAACTAAGGCAAGACTAAAGTACTGCGGATAATACAACTGTTTTATGAAACACTTGCAGAGTCTGTGGCATAGAAACTAAAACAGTATATATATATATATATATATATATATATATATATATATATATATATATATATATATTATATATATATACATATAAGTGTTTTGTTGGTATTTTCTTGTTGTTGACTTTTTATTTTAGTATTGACAACAAGAGTTTACTACATTCTGCTGATAGGTTTGCTACACATTTTTCTTCATTAAGTAAGATGAAAACTGCGTCTCTGTTTTTGAGGTATGTTTCATGCCCGTTTATCCTGACACTTGTCCCGTGTGGGATGCAGGCCACTAAAAAGAATACACCCACAGTATCTCCTACTGGTCGTAAGAGGCGACTGCAGGAGCAGCTGACCGCTGTCCTTACCCAACAGTCCGTCTCGTCCCATACCCATTTATTTACCAAGAACCCATCTCAGCCACACCCCGAGTGTCGGATGAGTCCTCTTGACCGTGCTTGAGTGGAAGAGGTCCACTTTTCGCGGGGGTGTGTGGCATATACATGTCGCGCCCCCTACACACAAACTGCGTAACTTGTGCCTCTCCCAATTCACACACTCTTAAATTCCTCAATCTTTGACCGGAAGGTCGATAAACATTTCTGACGGAGGGCAGCAGCGCCAGTACCAAGTTTAAGGCGTATAGGAAATTATCCTGAACCGGCTTATCATTGGAATTTCACAAGCGGAGCTCTAACAGCAGAAAGGTTGTGATACTGCGATGCAATAGGGCAGGGGAAACCATTACATAATAATTCCCAAGAAAGTTATGCGTGATGTCATCGAATGGAATGCCTCGGATGCTGTCACGCAGCCCGGTTGACGGCCGGCGCTACCTTGAGTCCGGGTCAAGTAGTGTAAAATTGGCCACCGGCCACACAAATTCTAGTGACCAGGCATCGTGTGGAAATTCAGCTACTGGTCTACAAAAAGATAAAGTAAAACTCAGGCAGCTATTGAAGGTCGGTACATGGAATATACAAGGGCTAAAAACAATCACCGGTAAGCTAGCGATTATTAAAAACGAGCTAGCAAGATACAACATAGAAATCTCGGGACTAGCTGAAACTCATTGGTTAGGAGAGGGCCATTTTAGAACAGACAATGGCAATTATATTTACTTCTCTGGCGGTGAGACCCAGAACTATACAGGTGTTGCCAATCTGGTCTCACCAAGATTACAAAAGTCAGTTGTCGAATTTAAAGCTGTGAACGATAGGATAGTACTCATTAAATTGGATGGCAAACCACATAAACTTAATATCATACAAGTTTACGCGCCAACCAGCACATCAGATGACATAAAGATCGAGGAGTTCTACGAAAAACTGGAGACCACAATCGCTAACATACCAAATAAAGAACTTACTATAATATGTGGCGACTTTAATGCAAAAGTTGGCAACACTACACAAAATGACGACTTAAAGAATGTACTGGGAAAGTTTGGCATAGGGCAGAGAAACGAAAGAGGAGACCGTTTAATCGTATTTGCTATCACAAACAACTACTCCATCATGAATACTCGATTTAAACACCATGTACGTCGACTCTATACCTGGAAAAGTCCTGGAGATAGATTTAGAAATCAAATAGATTACGTCCTCACCAATATTCGCTGGAGATCGTCCATTCAAACAGTCAGATCATATCCATTATCTAGAAGATAGAAGATAGATCTAGGGAGATCTATTTAGAAAAATACGCTACCTGACAAGAGACTTCAGAGCCAGAACTTGGGCCATTGAAGATAACACTGGAACCCTGAGAACAAACAGAGAAGACATAGCAGAGACATGGAGATCGTATTGCAGGGACCTATATAAAGATGATCAACGCCAAGAGTTTGTTAGCCAAATCTCTGACGAGGTGGAAGAAAAACCTGATATACTCGAAAATGAAGTAAGACAGGCTATCAACAAGCTCAAATATAACAAAGCACCAGGTCCAGATATGATAACAGCAGAAATGCTTAAAGCCATAGAAGAAACCGGCGTAAAGTTACTTTATCTACTCTGTAACCAAATATGGCATTCCAAACAATGGCCTGAAGACTGGACAAAATCTACAATAACGACCATACATAAAAAGGACAGCTTCCATAAACGCGACAATTATAGAACTATCTCTCTTATATCCCATGCCAGCAAGATAATGCTACATATAATCAATGAGAGACTGAAAACATTCCTTCAAAGAGAAATTCCACAACAGCAAACTGAATTTACCAAAGGTAGAGGTACTCGAGAACACCTGCTGAATATAAGACAGATAATCGAGAAATCTAGGGAATTCAACATCCCACTATACATCTGTTTTATAGATTACCGTAAAGCGTTCGACAGGGTCAAGTGGAGACACTTATGGCGAATACTAAAAGAAGTAGGCGTACCACAACATCTAATTAGGCTTATAACCGAACTATATGAACACACTACTGGATCAGTTAAAGTACTTGACACACTTTCGAACGAATTTCATCCAGAACGGGGTGTCAGACAAGGATGTATACTATCTCCACAATTATTCAACATATATGGGGAGTATATTATGCGAAGAGCACTTGCAGGATGGGAAAAGGGCATCTCAATAAATGGTCATAAACTAAACAACCTACGTTTCGCAGATGACACAGCCCTTCTTGCAAATAGTCAAGCAGAGCTGATAGAACTTATACGACTGATCGAAAACGAAAGTCAAATATTTGGTCTGCAATTAAACATATCAAAGACAAAGATCATGATAGTGGATAGACTACACAACAATCATCCACACATAACCACAATTGACCGATTCGAGGTTGTGAGCTCATACTTATATCTGGGATCATTAATCACAAACACAGGGTCATTACAAGAAGAGATTCGTAGATCTGATCTAGCAAAAGTTGCCACAGCAAAAATGACCAAAATATGGAAGGACTGTCAAATTTCAAGAGCGATAAAGATGAGGTTGATCAACTGCTTAATATTCCCAATACTGACCTACGGATGTGAATCTTGGACTCTGAGACAATCGGAGAGAAGAAAGATAGACGCCACTGAAATGTTCTGTTGAAGACGAATGCTACGAATTCCTTGGACCGACCGCAGAACAAATAATTCAATTTTAAGAGAGCTAAAAGTTAGCCAACGACTCTCTAGTAAAGCCCATCTCCAACAATTAAAATATTTTGGGCATGTTATGAGAGCAAACACAGAAAACATGGAAAGACTCATAATACAAGGAAAGGTAGAAAGCCGAAGATCACGAGGAAGATCCCCAACAAGATGGATAGATCAAATTACAGGAATATGCCAAAGACCTATGCATGAATTAAAAGAAATGACCAGAGACAGAGATATCTGGAGACGGACAATACACGACATTACGTCGACCACAACACTCCCCCTGGGGGGTCAGGATTGAAGAGAGAGAGAGAGAGAGAGAGAGAGAGAGAGAGAGAGAGAGAGAGAGAGAGAGATCTTGACACTTACTAATCTTGCGGTTTCTCCCACATAAAAATTGTTGCATTTATAGGGTATTTTAAAGATGCAGTTCTTTAATCTCTTTTATGTATTTATAGGTTTGGTTATGGACAGAATAGATCTGAGTGTATTGGTTGTTTTGAATGTTGTTGTGATGTACTTATTTCCTATTGTTTTTAATTTTTCTGATAAGCACTTTACATATGGTATTGCTGTCATCTTTAAATCACTTATTATGAGCGTCTTTTTGTTTCCTTTCTTCAAACTTGTGAAATTACTTGTTTAAAAATGATTATCTCTTGTGGCTCTATCTTCTAAATTAATGCTTTTACAAACAAATAGCAAAAGGTAATTTCATTCGATTGGCACCTCGCTGTTAATCCAATATTATATTACAAAAAAGTTATGGGGGTAAAAGATTTAGAGAAACCTTATGCTTAAACACATAATATAAATTTTCATAAAAACAGTTTTAAACCGTTTTGGAGCAATATAAAAAATATCAGTTTTATTTTGTAACCTTAACAATTCGAAACTTTTTTGCGTACACTTTAGTATGTAGGTAAGCTAGGACAAATCGACTTATTTTCATCCCCAAAAATCGTAGTATCATTTATGACCAATCTTTTTGTAAAACCCCGTATATTAAATTCAATAATATCACTTACTAAATTCGAGGAAACAACTTTACTGGCTATAACATCAGATTCTAATTCAGCAATTTTTCGTTTCTGTTCTCCTGAAAGTCTTAACAATCTGTCAATTTCCATGTTTAAACTTTGTTCTAAAAAATAAAAAATACATAAACAAAAAAAAATGTTTTACTAATCTAGTAATAATAAAATAGGAATCTATTGACTAATTTTAACTTCGAAAAGAACTGGCATGATTTAATGATGAAAACTATGAATTAAATATTGATTTGCCGTTGGAACTGGTTAACTGCTGAACTTTTGGTTAAAAGGTGAATATGCGGGCAGAAACGGAACCTCGAGTACAAGTTCAGTTCACAACGCTGTCGATTGGGTGTACGTAAGACATGGACGGATAGTCTATCTCAGCACGCTAAATTCTATGGTCTATGGGGTCATAGTTTAGAATCGAAAGGTGGTAGTCTGAGCTCAACATACTTTAAGTTAATTATCAATAAATTGCAACGGAACTATCCAGCACATCACGATAGAAGCAAGTACCCTTGTGACTAACGACACAAGAGTTTCTTACATATCATTACATTCTTTCGGTGAGAATATATATTGTACCACTAGGGCAGTGTAATCATCGGTCTAATATATAATTAACCGACAAAGGAACCCCCTTCCAACCAACCAGCGTCAGGAACAACTCAAGATTAAATAAAAGGCCTCCGTCATTTCATATAGTACAGGTGCCAAGAGAGGAAAAAGAGGCAATGCGAAAGTGAACACACTAATGCACCTAGAGGTTCCAATCGAAAATCTCAGTACACTGACAAATTTCGTGCAGTGCTATAATATAATTTCAACACATAAGCAGCATATGTGTATATTCTGCTTCATATACCCTATGCTATACCTCATAAGTGTGTAAAATAAAATCACAGTAACACAATTCAAACCAGCAAAGCGTCCAAATTGCGAAACACCCCACCCGATCAACTATAGAGACTGCAGAAAAACCTACGCACCTAAATATGGTACTTCAACAAACTTCACTTCAGAAGAAGCAGGAAACAGGACCAACCTAGACACTATACTCATGATGACAGCCTTTATGGAAATTATAATAACTAAATTCATGGAAAGGATCAACCAACAAAAGGAGGTGACCTAACAAACGACACTAGAAGAAATGGGTAAGTAGAAAAATATCTTTTCTTTTATCCTGCTAAAAAGAAGGGCCGTTCAGGATGAAAAAAGCAAGACCTACACATAATCCCAAAGACAAAATGACACATCCCAACCCATTAAAGATGGGAAATACAACCTATTAAGTAGATAGGTAAAGAAATAATAAATCAGACTTACTCACAATCAATTTAATTTAACTATCCGACGACCGGTTTCGCTTTCTACAATATGCAAAAATGGAAAAAAACCTCATAATACTATCCCGACATTGTAAGTATTTGTTCGTGAATTTAGTTTACCTTCAACAAACATCAAAATTCTGATTTTATGTTACGCTATTTAAAAAACATAAATGATGTATCCTCTATATGTTACTGACTTACTAATACTGGTATTTTCTTATTAATAACTTCCTCTTTCAATATTGGTAACCAGATCCTACTACATTCTGCCGAGGAATTTGCGACACAATTGGCCTCATTTAGCATAATTAGAGCCGCTTCTTTGATTTTTCTTTTTTTACCATCCGTTTCTTTTAGGACTATATTTGAATTATTAAATTGAACTCTATGTTATATATGGGATAATGAACATAGAGTTCAATTTAATAATTCAAATATAGTCCTAAAAGAAACGGATGGTAAAAAAAGAAAAATCAAAGAAGCGGCTCTAATTATGCTAAATGAGGCCAATTGTGTCGCAAATTCCTCGGCAGAATGTAGTAGGATCTGGTTACCAATATTGAAAGAGGAAGTTATTAATAAGAAAATACCAGTATTAGTAAGTCAGTAACATATAGAGGATACATCATTTATGTTTTTTAAATAGCGTAACATAAAATCAGAATTTTGATGTTTGTTGAAGGTAAACTAAATTCACGAACAAATACTTACAATGTCGGGATAGTATTATGAGGTTTTTTTCCTGGTTTTTCCCTCATAATTTACTATGGAATCACTAACAGGAGAATTTTACTGTCATCATGTCATGTGTTTGTCTTTTTAAAGACGAATTACATGCTATGATTTTTTCTGACGGATATTCTCAAGTTAAAGTTGATTTCATGTAATCGAATGAACTATCTTATAAGTAAAGTCGTCCCAGGAGCGCAACTCAACAATATTGGCAATATCATTTTAAAGTCGTCTACTTTAAAATGCATAATGTATGTCTGAATTGTCAATATAAATGAGTCAGATAAAATTAAATTATCAGAAGAATTTTTTCACTATGTAACAAAAAACAAAATTTGTTTAATTTACTATTTGTATTTTGAGAACGATTTCCGAATTGGAAATTGAAACGTCAATAAATGTATTTTTATCTTTAATGTGGCTTATTCCCAGTTATAAATAGTAATTACTGTATATTGTTGAATGGAGAACTCAATACTATTATTGCAGTTGTTTGACAGTAAACGGGAAGTTCTTGAGGAGGTAGATTTGATCCAATGAATTTGAGATGTGTGTGAGATTGTTTGTTAAATGTAAGTGGTGTAATATATTATTGTGTTATTAAAAGTTATTTATACTTATTTCCAGAGATATATTTTTGAAATGTGTGTTATTTATTGAGTAATTGTTTTATGAAGGTGACATTTATGACAATGAATAAGTGTAGATGTAAAATTGTGTGAGTGTGCAATTATTTCCAAACTTGTAGTTATCAAATTACTTTGATAAAGTTCTATTGGCAATGAGTTAATTATTGGAATGGTCAAGTGAATAAAATGAATAAAATGGTAAAATACAAACACTTAAGGATAATTTGAACACACTAAAAACAGAAAACACTTAGAAGGCACGAAACAAACATTGAATTTAAAAGGGGAAGGACTTTAAAGCACTACATCATAGTCTTGGGCACAATGAGTTTTTTATGTCTGGTCTGGTCTGATTTATTATTTCTTTACCTATTTGAAATGGACTCACACAAGCAACAAATTCATGATCTATTAAGTAGAATTCTACAACAACAAAAAGAAAACAGAGAGATAATGTAGCTAATGGGCCACCTTATAAGAATACATAAGACGCAAATTTCGGTGCAATGTCCATAGTTCCCCAGAGAATTTAAAAAGAGTTTCTTACGTAGGCAGATCATAAAAAGAAATATCTCTACCTCTTATGTGTGCGCGTGTGTGTGTGAGTGTGTGCGTACGTGTGCATGTGTCTATCATCAGTTTGTGCCAGAAATTCGAGAGAAAATCAGATAATTGTATGTCGACTAACTACTATCAAAGAAAAAAGTAATCTATTGAACTCAACTCACCTATAACTGTAAAATTATTTAGGCGGTCCATAAGTCTTTTTTTGTCGTCAGTTTCCGTTTCAAGCAGCATCTGCAAATTTTTCTTTTCAAATTTGACAGCTTCCAACTCGGAAATTAATTCCGTTTTCTCCACTTTAAGTTTGGTGACTTCCCGTTCCAATGTTTGCACTGTTACTACTGATTCGTTCATTCGATCCTGCAATCTAAAAAGCTTATATTACAAAAAAAAATCTAATTTTAGGTTTACTGAGCATCCTGATGTGAAAAAGAATTTAAAAAAGGCTTATCGATTTATATGAATAACGACTATCAATAAATATAACAAATTTTGGGAGAAAAGAAAATAAATGAAATAAGCATAATACAATCATTAGGCTAATAAATACATACAATGAGCATTATATGTTTTTGTAATTTAGTAAACACTAACAATAATTTTTTTCTGTAAAAAACTAATGCAATGCTAATAAAAAATTATAATAGGTAAAGTAATAGATAAAACGATTGGTTGTTAGAAATGAGCAATAAATACTCATTGAGTTGACTGCAATTGACATCTCATTACAAATGCAAATATTCAAACAGCATTTACAGGTGGTTGTAAAGTCCATAAATCGTACGAAGAGAGTTGAAATCAAAGCTTTGTTTTAATTCAGAGTTATGTGTTCTATGATATTGTGTTACATTGTATTAAATTCCAGCTGAACTTAAAAAAGACGCGTTTTCTTTGAGAGAAAAAACTATTGTTTTAAATGTGCATCACTCACTTAATAACCGTCAACAACTGTTAAAAATATGCAATGACTACGTGCTCAGGTGTGGCATGTGTTAGTGAAAGAAATACACACAGATTTTTAAACGAAAGAAAACAAGGAAGTATTGCAGAGCCAAAAAAAATAAAAAAAAACGAACAATGATGAATCGCACAAAACCGTCCTTCTAAAAAAGGTGATTCGTTCAAAACATTAAACGTAATTAGATATGATAGTTTTCTTCACTTTGGCCGGGATAAGTTATACAAATTACTTAAAGAAATCGTTTTTCGATATGAAAATTAAAATAAAAAACCCGTATTGAACAGTGCACAAGAAATTATTTGCTGGCGAAGGCAATATTTGAGAAACAATTTAAAACAGACGGGAGACGTATTTCTGTTTAGATAATACCTCGATTCATGAAAGTAAATTATGGGTAAATAAACATATTTTCGACAAGTTTTTATAGAAGGATATTCAACTCAACAACAGGTTTAATTCAATCCAATAGATTGAAAATCCAATAGATCATCAAATATAAACTCAAGTAAAAGGCGACGTGCTGAAAAGGTGAAAATGCAATTTTTAAACTGAAGGATGTCTTATAACTTTTATTAAATTCTATACAAAAAGTATAGAATTTATGAGCGTAGGCGCAAATATTTTAGGGAACTTTTAGGGAATTTTTAGTTCATCTATCCGATTAAAATTATTTGGATGCTTATAATTTCCACCGCTTCCCAAAATAACCGTGGATAGTACTGTGTGTGATGTTTTATCCAGCATCTGCTTTCTTCAAACAATATCCGATGTTCTCCGCTTCCCAAAGCGTGTTCGGCAACGACAGATTTGTCGATATGTCCTAAACGACAATGGTTTTTATGTTCGTTTATCCTTGTGTTTGTGTGTCTTCTCGTGGTTCTCACATATACCATTCCACATGTGAATGGTATTCGGTATACTCCGTCCGTTGCTAACGGGTCGCGTTTGTCCTTCACCGATCTTAAACAGTCCTTGATTTTCTTTTTTGGTTTGAACATGGTCTTTACATTGGCTTTTTTAAGTATTCACCCAATTCTGTCTGCTACCCCCGATAAATAGGGCAAGAAAGCTTTGCCTATATATGCTGTTTCTTCATCCTTTCTTCTAGAAACATTGTTAATCACTTTATGTATTTTATATAATCTTCTGGTATAACCATTAGAGGTGAACGCTTTTTCAATATGAAGAAGTTCACTTTGCAGATGCTGTGGTTCACAAATTCTATTCGCCATCTCCGCCAGAGTTTTGATGATACCTTGTTTTTGGCCTGGACGAAGATTTGAGTTCCTGTTTAGGTATCTGTCCGTGTATGTAGGTTTTCGATATTCGGATTTTATGTCCTAAGTAACCTTCCTTTCGATTTACTTATACATCTATGAACGCTAGTTGTTGATCTTTCTCTGTTTCCATCGTAAATTGAATATTTGGATGTAGTGTGTTTATATAAGATAGGAAATCGATAAGTTTTTCTACTCCGTGACCCCAAATCACAAAAGTGTCATCGACGTATCTAAACCATACCCTTGGATTGTATGCTGACTTCATTTCGCTCTTGTCTAGATGTTCCATGAAAAGGTTGGCTACGACCGGGCTTAGTGGGCTTCCCATTGCTACTCCGTCTACCTGTTCATAAATCTGGTCTTCCCATGAAATAACATCAAAGCTAACAAGAATGTCAGGTTATTGTAAAGTTATTCCTATAAAGTTATATTTAGCAAGGCTGTAAGACGAAGACCCTATGGGGCTCATACTAGGGCGTAGAGGTACATCGTCTTTGTGTATTTTCAGTAAGCCATACAAGCGTAGTGGGACTGCTTCGCTGTTGCATATTCTTGGCTTTGTATCCTCTGGTATGGGCGAAGGTTTTATAAGTCTATTGGTTTTCTGTAGGGTGACTGCTGTGGGATCTTTTTTAAGTCTTTTATATATCGCAGGATCTAGAATATTTTGTATCTAGAATCGACCTAGTACGTGCATATCTGTAAAGGGCTGCGTTGTATTATTATTATTGCCCAATTAATTTATAAAGACTTAACCATTTGTTGGGTTTTTGTGGATTGTATGTTCGTGGTTATCACTGCTAGCATTGTGGTAATAGGTCTATGTTAATACACTATTTATTATTTTGTACCTTTTACTAACTACAAATTATTCAAAACAGAACTTAAAACGAAAACAAATAAAACAGATATAAACATAGCTAGGCGTATATTTGGTACTTGCTACTTTCAGTAATAAAGCTGCTTTGAGAACGAACATCAAGTAGCGCGAGCATCAAATGATTTATTACTTGTGTCACAGATGTCATCTACAGTAGCTCGATAATAAAACTGAATTGGTCAAAGTTCACCGATAATGAATGTACTCTCTCTTGCTAAGAGCCTCTTTTCTTTTCATTTCGCTTTTTTTCGCAATTGTCTGCGTTAAAATTCAAATTCAAATGTAGAAGAAGCGTATTGTGCCCATCCCTCAGATAATTCAAACAAAGTTTTTTGTTTTCTTGTTATGAGCGTTTTCTTGTAAACGCTCATGTATAAGTGTTGAACAATTTTAGATATGTAGATACAAAAATATATAGATATGTAGCCGAAAGGCAGGATCAGCCCCTGCTTAAAATCACAAACCAAGGATCAGCATCAATACCAGAAATAACTCCGTACGAAATTGAAACGACATTTTTAAAAATAAAAAATAACAAATCCCCTGGCGATGACCGAGTAGTTATCGAGGCGACCAAACTAGGCGGAAATAAAATTATCCAGGGTTTGGCCAAGTTTTTAATTGAATGCATCTACTAAGGAAAAACTCCTTCTCAATGGAAAATTGTTTTATTACACAAGAGGGGAGACATAATACATCTAAAAACCACCGTCCTATCAGTTTGCTCTCACAAATATATAAACTTTTCACAAAAATTATCAAAAAAAGACTGGACGCTAAGTTAGACTTCGATCAGCGTAGAGAACAAGCTGGATTTAGATCGGGATACAGACCACTTACTAGTGATAAAGAAACTGATAGAGAAGTCTGCAGAATACAACAAACCATTGGCACTGATATTCGTGGACTGCGAGAAAGCATTCGATACCATAAACCATCAGAAAATGTTAATTGACAGAATGCCGATTAGACTATCGCTACACTAACATAATCAAATATATCTACCAAAACTCCACAGCTACCGTAAGACTATCTGGAGAAGAAACAAATAAATTCTGTATACCTCGAGGAGTACGGCAAGGAGACACCGTCTCTCCAAAATTATTGACAGTCCTTTTAGAACATACTTGTAAAAGTGGCTTCCCACGATCGGCGATTCTACAGATCATCGCGATCAGCACGGACGACAACACACCGCAGACAGAGCTCTTCCTACGGTCCGTGACAGTCTGTGTAGGTCCGTGACAGTAATGTTTGATTATATCATAAAAAGGCCACTCAGGCTTGTAAACATCATTGCCTTCTGTATGTCGACATTAAATTATCTCTCTTCTTTTTAAATTCTTTAATTTAAAGGTGCATGTACCGCACCTTTGATGTTACCGACTCTAGATGGATAGGACGGACCAGCACAGACGTGCCTGTGCTACCACGGACGAGACTTTTCCCACGGTGCGTGGTACGGGCTGGTCCGCTTACGTCCGCAATATCGCCGACCGTGGGAAGCCGCTATAAGAAGGCAGATCTGAACGAGGATGGTATCAACATAAATGAAGAGAAGCTCGGTCATTTGAGATTTGTAGATGATGCAATAATAATGTTTGAAAAATTATATCACGCTCCCTTGGAGGCCAGACTAAAGATTAATATGAATACGACTCAAATAATGACTAATCTGGTGCTAAATCAAAATATGGCTGTTGATGAAAGATATATTGTGCAGACTGCATCGTAAAATTATTTAGTACATGAAATTCGGTTGAGCAGGGATAACCAGACATGTGAGCTGCCACGTCGCATATTATTAGCCGGGACAGCGTTTGGTAAATTCTTCTTCTTCTTCTTCCTTCTAGTATGTAGGCTTTAAAGCCTGTTTCTTCTTTAATATTAGCCTCCTAAATTGTTTAAATTGTCGCACCATCTTTTTCTTGGGCTGTCAATACTTCTTCGTCCATTTGGTGACATATCTCGTGCTATTCGTAATATTCTATCCTCTGCCATTCTACTGATATGTTCGTTCCACTCCTGTTTTCGTTTTTTCACCTATCCATTTATGTCTTCTATATTGTATGCTCTTCTTATTCTTCATATTCGTCGGAGTATTTTCATCTCAGTTGTTTCTAGCAGTCGTCTCGTTTTAGATGTGTCAGGTTTTGTCTCCGCCGTGTATGTTAATATAGGTCTAATTGCTGCTTTATAGATTCTTGTTTTTATGTCTTGTCTTAGGTGTTTGTTATTCCAGATTGTGTCATTAAGAGAACCCGCCGCTTTACTTGCTTTTAAGCTTTGTTGTCGTACTTCTTCTTCAACATCTCCGTAACTATTTATATCTATTCCCAGATATCTAAACCTTGCTTCCTGCTTTATTACTTTCCCATCAATTTCGATTTTACACCGTAGTGGGTATTTAGATGTTGTCATACATTTGGTTTTTTCTGCTGGTATTATCATATTGTATTTTTTAGCTGTTATATTGAAGATATATGTTAATCTTTGGAGCTCGTATTCTGTCTCGGCGATTAATGCGGCGTCGTCTGCATAACATAATATTCGGATTTCTTTGTTCCCCATTCTGTAGCCATGACCTTTACGTACTGCTTGTATTATTTCGTCCATTATTATATTAAAGAGAAGTGTGCTCAACGAGTCTGACTCCGCTTTGTACTGGTATACACTGTGTTAGTCTTGCATTTATCTTTGCCTGTATTCGATTAAGGAGGTAGATGTTTTCGATGGTTTGTATAATATTGATTGGTATGTTTGTTTTATACAGCAGGTGTAAGACGTCTTCGACTTGGATGCGATCGAAAGCCTTTGTCAGGTCTATAAAACATAGATATGCTGGTTTATTGTACTCGATAGCCTTTTCTATGATTTGTCTTAGTACAGATAAGGCGTCTATGCAGGATCTTCCGGATCTGAATCCTTGTTGTTCATCTGATAAAGTGGTTACTTTATTGATTGTATTGGTTAGGACTTGTGTGGTAAGCTTAAGTGCGGTGTTCAGTAGATTTATACCTCTATAATTGTTGGTGTCTTCTTTATCTCCTTTCTTGAACATTGGTATCATTATGCTGTTTCTCCATGCGTCTGGTATCTTGTAGTGCAATATTAGTTTTTGTATAAGTTTTGTCATCTCTAGGGTTATACTTTCTCCTCCGTATTTTAGAAGCTCGTTGGTTATTCCGTCTTCTTCTAGTGACTTTCTATTTTTGAGCGAATTTATGGCTATTTCTACTTCCTGAAAACTGATTTCTATTTCGTGTCTTAATTCAGGTACGTTATTGTGTTGATTATTATTTTTCTTTACTTTAAACAGTTCCGTCAGGTATCTTTCCCATCCGTTTGCTGGTATGTTATTGTATTCCTTCAATTTTGCCATTTCTTTCCGTTGGTTTCTTATAAATCTCCATATTTGTTTTTGGTAAATTAAACTATGCATTTAAATACATAAAATCCATATGCCTCAAAAGGAAAATCTTTGACCAATGTGTGTTATCTGTATTCACTTATGGAGCGGAAACATTAACACTCACAAAAAAGGTAGGGAATAAGATTTGCGTGACTCAGAAGGCTATGGAGCGCCAGATGTTGGGTGTCTCTCTGAGAGACCGAATACCAAACGAAGAAATACGTCGTAGAACAAAAACAACAGACGCCATCAAAAAAATCGCGTCGCTAAAATGGAATTGGGTAGGACACGTCGACAGATTATTAGACAACTGATGTACAAAACGTATTGTCGAGGGGAGACTAAGAAAAGAAGCACTACGGATACTAGCTTTTGAGGTCTTAGGTAAATTATTGCATTTCTTGAAATGGAAATGCTGTAATTCTGTAACAAAGCTAGAGATGAAAGATTATTTCTGGTTTATTTCACACTAGTTCGAACCACACTCTGCCCCCGGCAGAGTGGTCCTCTCATAGGTGCCTACAGGGGTTTTGTCCCTATATACACAGAATGAATCAGTAGCTAACGATAGGTTCATCAGGAAGCAACAAATTCCACAAAAAAGTAAGTGAGCTTTTCACGAATTGATAAAGTTAATGAGTTACGCCAGGCAGTTTTCTTATTTTAAATCAAATTTCCTATTTTATTCACAATCACAATCATAACCAGCTATTTTCAATACATCCTACATAAGCAGAGTCTATTTACCAAATTTTAGGAATCTAGGATTTTTTACTTACTTAAGAGTTGCTATCGATCAGATAGACAGACTCACAAATAGCTATAAGATTTCAAGATGAGCCTGTCAGGTCCATAATAATGTCTATATCATTTGGAACATGAAGCTAAACATTAGTGTAATAACAGGAACAATACAGATAGAAACTAAGCACACTAGATATTACAAGGCAATATTATCATATTTAATAATTTTGATTATCGTGTACTTACCGTGACACTTTTTCAATATTCGTCTTCACTGTATCATTGCACTGAGCTTCCACTGTCAGTGCTATTTGGTCAATGTTTTTCATCTCGTCTTCTAAAAGTTTGTTTCTCTCTGCTAAAGTAAGAGCTCGTCGCATAGCCTCATGCTGCCTCGCTAAGGCTTCTGAAATAAAAAGTCAACGGATGAAAAAAGCAATTAATTGACTTGTATTAAATTAATGATAATTAAATATTTTTGAACATGGTTTAAAAATAACCGTTAAGAATACGAAGACATAAAATAAAGATAATAAAAAAATTATTACATATTTTCGTACGACGGGATACGTTTTTCGATTTCATTATTTGTTGTAGCGCAAACCAGCATCGATTGCCTCCTATATTAAAATTCTTAATCTCTGATATAATGCTGTTGTTAGAGGTGATGGTAGGTTCCAAATATGTAAACTGATTAAAGCTTTTAAAGTTGTAGTTGTTCTCTCGTTGTTGTCTCGTTCTGTCCTATTCTGTCTGGTCAGTCAGTTCTTGTTTTAACGATATATTTTTTTATTTTTGTTTACCATAGGTCAACTTCTTTTACGGTATTTTCCAGTTTAATGAAATCTTCCAAAAAACCAATGATCATACTGTAGAAATAAACAGACGAATATAGATTGCCAGCATTTTTGCCAGCACACATCTTAATTTGAACATCAGACTACGTATCCTTCGATTTTATATATTATGGAGTTGAGACTTGACATTGAAAAGATGCAATTTAAAAAGAATCGAGGCTTTCGGACTCTGGTTATACCGCAGAGTATTAAAAATAGCATGGACTGATAGAATTATAAACAAAGAAGTACTGGAGAGGGTTTGTAAAGAAACAGAACTAATCAACACTATATAAACAAGAAAACTGGACTACTTAGGCCACGTGATGAGGGAACCAAAATATGAAATTTTGATACTTATAATACAGGAAAAGATTCACGGAAGATCTGTTGACCGAAGGCAGAATTTTTGGTTAATGAATCTACGTGATTGGTATCAATGCAGATCAATTGATTTGTTTAGAGCAGCAAGTTCAAAAATAAAAATAGCTACTGTGATTGTTAATCTCCGCAGTGAGACAGCTCTCTAAGAAGAGACGACTCATCATGCTATCATACGCTTGTTAAAAATCTATAAATAGCGAGTGCAATGTTTTGTTGTATTCCCAGCATTTCTCCATTAACTGTTTTTACTTTAGAAATTGATTATATCTTATGTTAATAGGGAATATACCCCTATACTTTGCGCAGTACATTTTATCGACTCTTTTATGTATGTGTATAATAACAGTTTTTTTCTAGGAGATTGACTGAGATTGAGGTGATTTAATGAGCTGATAACAAAGTCGATACAGTGTCGTTTCCTGAGCTTTCTTGTTTTTAGTATGTTAGTGGCTCTTGATAGTTGTTTGCTGGATTCACCTGAATACACGTTTAGTAGTCTATCAATGTAACTTCACCAGGTATCTATTATTTCAGTCTCACCCGTATCAAATTTCCTTCGTCATTCTTTATGACTGTTCCATTGTAACATTATAAACGTTACTTTTTTAAAATGAGAAAATGAGAAAAGGCAGCAAATATTTGATTTCACGCAAACAAATCCTATGTATCTCTTGATACGTATTTCGATACGTATACTCCTATGAATAGCGAAGAGCTATTCATAGGAGTTCTCAACGTGAAAAATCAATATTTTCTGCCTTTTAAGAAGCAACAATAACATGGCTTCGATACGGACGCACTAGCGACATCTAATTTAACAATCGTAAAATAGTTTCGAAACACAATTCAGATTTCTGCTTTATAATCTGAGCCTTCTAAAAATTGCAAGGCAAACAGACGTTGATGAAAGATGTTAAAAGAGACATGGGGAATCTAAAATTTGCATTCCACGACATGTCTTTTACAACTAAGCAGAAATCCTTAGCGAATTGTGCTTCTTGTACTCCCACAGAGCAAATCCGAATAAAATGAGAAAAGGCAGCAAATATTTGATTTCACGCAAACAAATCCTATGTATCTCTTGATACGTATTTCGACCTAATAGGTCTCGTCAGAAGAGCTATTCATAGGAGTTCTCAACGTGAAAAATCAATATTTTCTGCCTTTTAAGAAGCAACAATAACATGGCTTCGATACGGACGCACTAGCGACATCTAATTTAACAATCGTAAAATAGTTTCGAAACACAATTCAGATTTCTGCTTTATAATCTGAGCCTTCTAAAAATTGCAAGGCAAACAGACGTTGATGAAAGATGTTAAAAGAGACATGGGGAATCTAAAATTTGCATTCCACGACATGTCTTTTACAACTAAGCAGAAATCCTTAGCGAATTGTGCTTCTTGTACTCCCACAGAGCAAATCCAAATAAAATGAGAAAAGGCAGCAAATATTTGATTTCACGCAAACAAATCCTATGTATCTCTTGATACGTATTTCGACCTAATAGGTCTCGTCAGAAGAGCTATTCATAGGAGTTCTCAACGTGAAAAATCAATATTTTCTGCCTTTTAAGAAGCAACAATAACATGGCTTCGATACGGACGCACTAGCGACATCTAATTTAACAATCGTAAAATAGTTTCGAAACACAATTCAGATTTCTGCTTTATAATCTGAGCCTTCTAAAAATTGCAAGGCAAACAGACGTTGATGAAAGATGTTAAAAGAGACATGGGGAATCTAAAATTTGCATTCCACGACATGTCTTTTACAACTTTGTTACTTTTTTATTTTAATTTTAAATTCTTATTCATCATATCAGTTTCTTCTCTCTTTTCCACTCTTTTACTGCCATTTGTTCTCATTTCTAAACATTATTTTTCTTATCTAATTCAGGAATTGACTGACCTTCTTTACTTCCAAAACTAAAAAATTAACAATGTTCAAAAACTAGTACTATTTCTCTTTGTCAACATAATAAAGATATTCCTTGTACTTTTTTTTTCATTTTACGGTCTACTTCAAAAACAAGTCCTTTTAAAAGTTGAATCGACGACAGGATCGAGGTATTACCTACACTGATAAAAAATTCAATGACAAAAATAGTGGAAGTATAATACGTCAACTTTTCACATCGAATAATTTTTTTAAACGGTTTAATTTTTTTTTGCCTTCACATTTAGACTTCAGTAATTTTAATTGAATTAAATCTGGGTTATTGTTAACGGTATTCGGTGCCGAATGTATTTTATACTTTTTTCTCAAAGTTTTTAGAAAGTTTCCATAACATAATTGTATTTTACATTTTCTTAATTTTAATTCAACAAGAAAGTCCGATACAAATACCTCATGCATGTTAAAAATGTTCTTTATTTTTGTCAACCTGCTTAGGCTCTGATTTCTTTTCAGTCTGTCCGACAAGGACCAAAACATCCTTCTTTTTTATTCAGCAAGCATTGACTCCTAGAATAGGCCGATGGAGCTTTCGACCAGGGTGACCCCTTTTTAACCAACAAACATCAAGCTACGGCGACCACCTAATAACATACAGGACAAACATTTTAAATTTACTCGACCTTTCTTTATTTGATTTACTACTTTGTTTTGGCATTGTAGTTAATATAAATAAATTATGTAGTACAGTTAATATTGTTCTTATTGTTCAACCCATACCTCACTTGTTTATTTTATGCAACATAAAACTCAAGAGCTTGAATGTAGTCTCAACGCCAACGTGTCATAAATTCGATGCACCATTATTAGTTTTAAGCATTTTTTATTTTTACCTCCCTAAATAAATGAGTACTTCTGTTGTTCATTTTATTAGACAGCTGTTATTCGAGAATATTTTCTTCGTGTGTCTTTTTTTACTTTTATCGTCTATTTACTTCTAGATCCCTTATATTTCTGTAAATTTTGCTCGTTTGGATGTTGCAGCATTTATTGAGTGGATATTATATTCCTTAAATTTTAAACTTTCCCGCATTCGTCGCCAAAATAGTTATTTTCAGTCTTCTTTCTTTTTCCGATAGTTTGGATACTGTACGTTAATTTTTAATTATGTTCCTAACTGCGTCGACATTATTTTGATTTTCTACTAATTCCAAATTTGTCTGCAAGTTTGGATATTCACTTATTGTCTGTGCGCTTTTGAAAGTCTCAGTATTCCATTACAGAATCTGTTCTGGCCTACTTCCCTTTATCTAAAAAATCTTTGTTTGAACTTGCTCTAATCAGATAATGGTTACTGTCTGCGTCCAGGCCCCGTAGATTTCTAACGCTGTCACTGTCACTGATTACTGCCACTTCTTGCTAATCAGAAAATGATCAATCTGATTTACACTTATTGCATCATTAGAAACCAATGTTTTCCTATGGAAATTTGTATATCGTCTTATGGAATCATTTTTTCCTTCGGTCGGTGTATGAACTGGGAGCATCAGGAAGTTGTATAATTATCCGTAAAAATCTCACGTAACAAATTATTTCATTTACTACTAATATGACAAAAATAAAAGCAATGACCAACACAGACGATCCCAAACGTATAACTATAAATGGCAGTGAGATAGAACAAGTCCAGGAATGTATCTACCTAGGACAAATTCTGAAACTTGACAAAAACCAAAGTACGGAAATCACTAGAAGAGCAATACTGATATGGGCAGGATTTCGAAAATTCAATTGGATACTGAAGAACCACAAAATACCTCAATACTTCTACTACCTCAAACTCAATCATTGGAAGGAGTTAGGAGAAGCCTATGTACAAAAATGAACGAAAGAAGGCTAAGAAGAAGAAGAATGAACAAATTATATTACTATTCAAATAATCCAATAAATAATTGTTTTCTCCTAACGCCACCTGTTGACGTATTAATAACAAAGCATACGTTGTTTACGTCTGACAGACCTGTCAAATTAAGACGAAATATTAAATTATATTAAAATATAAATAAATATCATGTGATATTAAAATTTAATTAGTGTATAAACTAAATAATATGTACAAAAATAATAATTGTATTTATATTAAATTACTTTAAAACTAGAAGTGTGCTAAACATTTAAAGAGATGATTTAATATCGTTATTAATCGGACGACATTTATGACTTTTAAAATTTTGATTCTCGTTTAATGCCTGTATTTTGTTGGTTATTTTTCATACAGTTTTTAATATAA